CTATGGTATTAATTGATAACAACATGAAATTAAATGATAAATCTCAGCCTCAGTGCAGTGGCTACCTCCGAAAATAGAGGGAAATGGGATGGGGGTTTTACAAGATGTTTCAACTGTAGCTAATGTTTTCTTTTACTTAAAAAATTGAAGCAAACAGAAGGTGGAGGAATACGGCTTTTTCTCTTATTTTCTATGCTTTTCTATATGTTTGAAACACTCACAAATTAAAAAAATTTGTGAGTATTTCAATGGATTCCAGTATTTCAACACTGGAATACAACACAATACCTATGTATCAAAATCTGAGATGCAGGTAAAGAAGTCCAGAGGAAAATATAGCCTAAATTATTAGAAAACAGGAACTGAAAATAAATGAATTAAAATTTACAGGTAAGTTGGCAAAGAAAATAAAAAGAATAAAAAGTATAAAAACATAAATGAATTTAATATAAAACAAAATACATAAAAAATAGTGCTAGGTTGTCCAGTATAATTTAAAACTGTTGGAAAAATAAACCAACATGCCACATCAGTGACTCAAGTTTTTGATCTCAGAACTGCTTTAGACTTAAAAACTTTTGTTGTTTCTATCAATATTCAATGTACTAGAAATTAAAACCAAGAAAATTAGAAGTTTACTGATTTAAAATAACAATATAATGAACATATTTTCATGAACTATAACTTCATTTTCCAAAACTCAAAAGATAAAATGAGAAAAGTGACATGGCTTTACACATTTGCAAATCTTTTTTGTAGAGAAGGGGTCTCCCTATGTTGCCTAGGCTGCTCTTGAACTCCTGGCCTCCTCAAGGTATCCTCCCACTCCGGGCTTCCATAGTGCTGTAATGACAGTCATGAGCCACTGCACCTGGCCTTGTAAATCTCTTTAATTCCTGGCCTAATAGAAGGCAACTGCTTCTGAATTCAATCTGTTGTGATATGTTGTTTTGGTTGAAGTGTATGAAAAAAATCTGGCCTCACACAGACATATATCCTTGGAAAAAAAGCAGCCATTCAGACAACTGTGGATATTCTTTAATGCTACAGTCAAACTCAAGCGGTAATTTATTAAAGATTAATCACAATAACGATATCAATGAACTTTTTGCACTGTTACATTAAAATCCATTGGTTTGTCTTGCCTTTTTTTTTTTTTTTTTTTTGAGATGGAGCTTCACTCTTGTCACCCAAGCTGGAGTGCGGTGGCACAATCTCGGCTCACTGCACCCTCCGCCTCCCAGGTTCAAGTGATTCTCCCACCTCAGCCTCCCGAGTAGCTGGGATTATAGGGGCCTGCCACCATGCCCAGCCCTGTCTTGCTTTTTGAAGGGATCTTTCACCCACGCATGACTTTGTAACACTGTGCATTGATCATTTGGAAAATACTGGTTCACTGAGTTACACAGATTTTCCAAATGTTGACACATTTCATTACACATATCACAAAACCACATTCATTACCATCACTGCTGATCTCATCAGACGACATTCTCAGGTGACTTTGGTATTGCAGCAGGACTTTTACTGGGGTGAGTAGTGGTGTAAATACAGTAACTAACACCATAGTTGGGAGCCACTGCTTTAACACTTGCTGAGGCACCATTCGGCACAGATGTCAGTATGGTGAAAAAGGCAAATAATGTCTTATTATGAAAATTAAGTTTGCCCTTGCAAACTCCTAGAAAGGGTCTTGGAGATTCCCAGGGGTCTGCAAACCATACTTTTGACAACCACAAAGGTAGGCAATCCCTTGCAAAGTAGAATCAAGACAAAATGAAAGAAGGTACCTTAACATCAGGAACAAATGAGTAAATTTTAAAATTATAAGACTAGGTATAGTCTAATTTTAAAAATTACTCTAGTAATTTATATATATAGTTACACTCACATTTATAAATGCATACACACATATATACAAAATTTTTTTTTTAATGAGTATAAATAAGGCAATCAAGCCAGACAGCTTAGGTTGGAGGTTGGAAACCTGGTTCCTCTACTTAGTAGCTGTGAGACCTTGGATAATTTAATTATCCTCCCTGTGCCTTAGTTTCCTTATCTATAAAATGAAGATGATGAAAGCACAATCCCCTGGCCAGTTAAACTCTAGGAAAGATTAAATGAACTAACGTAACTGCTTAAAAAAAGTCTGGCATGTGATAGGTTGTACAAGTAGTACGTTGGTTGCCTGGTAGAACTCTGCCAACAAATATAAAATGGCCAGATTTTTTAGGAAAATAAAACAAAAATTTTGTCAAGAAAAAAAATCTACCACTCAGGTTGCAGAACAGCCTAAGAACTTAGTGTCCTTTCCCAACCATGGTCTTCAACCATGCTTTGCGGAGTCTCCCTCTTCTGGACATCCTAAGCAGACCCGACAGCTGTTCTGTAACTTTGGTTAATACAAGTCCAGTCCAATCCAGTGTAATAACCCATCTCCCATCTGCCCCCTGGCTTTAATAATGTCAACAAGAAATCATCTTTTCTTTCATTCCTCCTTCGCCCTCCCTTTTCCGGGGACCCAAATGAGGTCAAGGGACAAACATGTCTTAACCGAGGGTGTAACTGCGGCCTCCTTCTGGTGGTAACTGCTTCTCCCTACATCTCATCCTGGGCAGATTCCACAAGTGGCAGGTTCCCATATGCAGTCTCTGTCCTGGGATGCAAGACACATGAAAAATCTAGCTGTAACTCCGTAAGCAATACAGCTATTGCCCACAGCTATACACCACATAGCCTCTTGCAGCTAGAGTGAAACACATGCAAGACAGCTCAAGCCTGGATGCTTTACACAATATCACTACCTCCAGGAAATGAATTAGTTTTCCTACACCAAATCCAAGGGTACGGCCAGTTTCACAGGCATCCCCACTCCTCCCTTCCACATCTCTCTCTTCTCTTTTTGGGGATCAAGAAGTCTGCCCCTGACTATTCGTTATTCTCTTCCTGTAAGCTTTCTTCAATGTGTAATTTTCTTAGGGCTTTCTGCCTCAGTAGACTGTGATAGTGGCAAGGAGAGCCATTCAAGTTTGATGGTACAGGATTCCTTCTCTTTTGATGCTCCCTTCCTCTCCTGGAGACAGGTTTGTAATATACTGGGAGAAGGTGAACGGTCGGGGATTAATGAGGCAAGGAGGCTAGTTTGGCCTTTAAGCACTCAGTGCAACTAAGGAGCTGGGAATATTTAACTGTAAGGGAAATGAACGTAGAGCACAGAATTATCTTTGCATATCTGAACAATCACTGAGAGTGTGATAAGCTTTTTCCTATGTAATTCTGTAGTAAGAAAGGACAGATTGATGCAAGTATCAGGGACACAACTTTTAATGTCATACAAGAACCATTAACAATTAGAGCTGTCAAGTTAGAAAAGGCAATGTTGTGAACTTCCTGCTACATCAGAGGCAAAAGATGAATGACTGTAAGGTTGAGATGTTGAGGGAAGGGATACAAACTGACAGGAGACTGGACTGTGTCCCCAGAGTCCTTTGACATTTATTTTTTTAAATTAAAACATACAGAGAGGTTGAAAAAAAATAGAATTATACAATTCTTCTGAGGAACTTAGCTCTGAAGAGAGAAAGAGTAGTAAGAAGACACCATAACTTGGAAGGCAGAATTTGTTACAGGTGGCAGCAACATGAGCACCTTTAGGCAATGGCAAAGGACAAAGTTAAGAGGCTGATATGATATCTGACCTTCAGATCAATTTCCTAATGATTTGCTGAAAGCAGCAAAGGTAGCAAAAGGTAACGTGAATCCCCACACCAGTCCTCACTGGCCCTAAGAAGTCACTTCAGTTGATTTCTATATGCCTTAGAAATACTGTATGTGCAGTGTTAGGAAACACCACTTTAGATAATCTTCAATCTCCAAAAGTGAATTTTATCCATTCATTCATTTAAATAGTTGAGCACAATGAAGTATCAGGCACTGTCTCAGGCTACAGATACAGCAATGAACCAAAGAGATATTTCCTGCCCTTGTGGAGCTTCCTTACTGATGGGAGCAAGGGGAGTAGATATCAAGTATGACAGACAATCAGGTAGAATAGGGAGGGCAGGAAGGATAGTAGATAGTCAGGAAAGACTTAATGAGAACGGTGACATTTAAGCAGATTTCAACATAGTGAAGGAGCAAGCCAAAGCTGACATACCAGAGGAGAGTTCCAAGCCCAGAGAACAGTAAATGCAAAGGCCCCATGACAGAAGCATGACTGTTACGTGCACAAAAATAACCAGATGACCACAGTGCAGCCTAATGGGTACTTTAGTACTGAATGGCACAAAGTATTTCTCAGTAGTTATTTAGCATCTGAAGTGTTTTTAACCAATTATTTAAAAAACTTTCATCGGCCAGACACAGTGACTCACACCTGTAATCCCAGCCCTTTGGGAAGCCAAGATGGGTGGATCACCTGAGGTCAGCAGTTCAAGACCAGCCTGGCCAACATGGTGAAACCCCCTCTCTACTAAAACTACAAAAATTAGCCAGGCATGGTGGCGCACACCTGTAATCCCAGCTACATGAGAATCTCTTGAATCTGGGAGGTGGAGGTTGCAGTTAGTCCAGATCACGCCACTGCACTCCTGCCTAGACAACAGAGTGAGACTCTATCAAAATACAATGACGACGACGAAACTTTCAACAAAAAAGATAACACATCTAAACCGTGTAACAGTGCCTGAAAAAGAAAACTAAAAGTTAATTATTATTACTTCAAAAAAATTATAGAAATGGTAAAAATAGAGCTCTTCTACCTGAAATGTGGGTGGTAAGTCTGAAATCCTAAATGCTTGCTCTGTTCTTTCTGAAATCCCAGCACTCCTGGGCACTTTACACTGGACCAAACTGAAGAGGACCCAGAGCACCAGTTAGAAAGGTTATAGAAGCTACATAAACCTACCTTGTTGAATAGTTGCAATTAATAGCTATATTCTAAATTATAATGATCTGTACTACTAATGAAATTGTTAAAGCTCAATAAAAATTAGAACAAGTCAAGTTTGAATAATAAGCATCCTTTTATTTGCTGACGCCATTACAAAAACCGATTACATTAGCAACAAAAAAAGTGTTTTCTTGAGTTGAAGTCAGAGGCAGTTACTTCCCAAAATGTTAAGTAAAACAGTGTACAACATCAGTATTAAAATGTTAAATTTTACATTGTCTTTACCACTTTGATCTTCTGAACAATTTTATTGAGCAAAATAAGATAAAAGATTACATGTTTATCTTCAGGAATGTAAAGGTCTAATTATTCAAACAGTTTTTATTATAAAACTAAACTCTGAAGGTGTCTACAGAGTTGGCTTTTTTTTTTCTTTCTTTAAATCAGTAGTCTAACAAGGATTAGAAAAGACAAAACTCTGTTCAGTGTTTCTGACAAAGTAGAAAGGGTGAAAACATAAATAAGGCTTTAATTTGGCAAAATATAATACAATGCCTTTTTTATCCTCAAATGAACAGTTTCCCAATTACTTCACTCTGTAAAAGATCAGAAAGAATGAATTTCACTTTAAAACAAAGCAACAGAAGGCAATCAGAAGACATCTGTCAAACACCAAAAGTACATATTCCATTTGATCTAGCATGGCCCTTTGCACTAGGCTCAAAGCAATTCACACTAATGGTAATCAAAATGAGAAAAATCTCAGGATTCAAAGGAAACAAGCTTTTAGGTAGGTATTTTTAAATGTGAGCCAAATTATGTTAGAAAACATTTAAGAGAACAACACTGGTAATCCATTTTTATTAGTCCTACTAAGAGAATGTAAAGCTAAAGTGATTGAGTAGCACTGAAAAGAGGTTGAATACAATCTTACCCCAGTGAATAAATAATTTAAAAGAGCAGACATACCTTTTTTTTTTTTTTTTTTTTAAGTCATACGAAGTTTTCTAAGTCAGATGACTACAGAAATTAAACTTCAAAAGCCATCAGAGAGACTAAGAGGACTTAACCAAACACAACATGTTAAATTTTGCCTTGGATTCTAGTTTGGGGAAAATAGTTAAAAAGCTATATTGGGTACAACTGACAAAATGTGAATAAAAGTTTAATATTGGATAGTACGTAACTACTGTTTCCTCTTTTTGGATGTAATAATGGTACCACTGATTGGTAAAACAATGTCTTGTTTTCGGAGATGCGTGCTAAAGTACTTAGAGATAAAATGTCAATGACTAAAACTTACTTTCAATTAGTTTAACAACAACAAAATATGTAGACGTATAGAAAGAGATGAAGCAGCTGGAGGATTTACGGGTGCTGGACTATTCTTTCAACTTTATGTGTGAAATTTTTCAAAATAAAAAGTTTAGAGGAAAGAAGCAATTGGAAAATTAAAAAGCAAAGTTATCCCTGGCTATTAACAGTTGATCAGAAAGTCTAAAAAGATCACTAGGACATTAAACTCTAAAGTGCTATGTAAACATATTACTGAAAATGAAAACCTGATCCATATGATAGCCAAGGTTTAGTGTAGAAATAAGATAAGTTTTTCTCCACAGCATTAACTCTTGTATTTCAGGAGCACTATGAAAGGACTTTTTCTTTCAGAAACAACAGATGACTGAATCACATAAGAATCTACTTGCTACAGGGAGTACGGAGAGCACACACAGAGCTTCACCTCCATTTCCTCTGGATAATACTGTAATACTCTCCAATACACTACTGATAAATCAAATATCAACTTTAGGAAAAAGTCAGAATCAACTGACAAAACTTGTAAGAGGCTGGCCAAAAAAAAAAAAAAAAGACAAAATGAGGAGAAAAGAAAACAGTGACAAAAGGGATCAGGGAACACAGTGCCTGAATTAGGGAGAAGAAAAGCACTGATTAAGAACACAAGCCCTGTGCCCAAACTACCTTGATTTAAACCCCAGCTCATCCATTTATTAGCTGTATGACCATGGACGAGTTATAGAATCTCTTTGGGTCTGTTGTAACATGGGAATAATAATACCTACCTACCTAACGCACAGGGTGGTTGTGAAGTTAAACGAGTTGCTACATGTTGGAAGCATGCTTATGCTTACAGACATACTCATGAAGTATCAGCTATTTAAATTATCATCCTCCCTCAACAGGATTCTACAAACTGGTTCCAAGATAAGGTAACCTGGGATAATAAAGTTTTCTCATTTGGTTAGAAACACACCTAGAATACTTAGAAACCAGGCAAATGTGAAACAAAAAGAGTAGATATCTGGGAACAAAAAAGTATATTATAAAATGCCAATACTGTAATTCATATAAAAGGTATCTTAATCAATCTCCCATTCCCCCCAAATGGAAAGAGGAGGATGGTAGCCTTTTCTTTTTTTGATTGGGGGCGGGAAGGAAAAATAGGCAATGGGAAAAAAAATTTCCAAAAGAAAAGTTTTCACAAATTAAAGATATCAGTTAAATACACCTACCCCTACAGCTCTAAGAAACGCTAAGTATTATGTATCAGGATTTAGAAAAACCATATTACTGCATATTATCTCTTACATATTTGTTTTTAAAAACAACTCTCCCTTTATTGAAATATGTGCAGCATTATCATAAACAATTCATATGTACTTGTGTACATTTTTAAAGGTTTCTTGACATCAGATATATTAACCTACTACCTACATTCCAATGATTAAGAAATGTGTATTTTCAATTTAATTATCTCGTGTCAGTTTAAATAGAGTACACAGGAGGGAGAATATATGTAGCAAAAATCATAGCTAAGGATAAAAACCTGAGGGTAACACAAACATTTAAAGGGTATAAAGAAGAGCTATGGGAACCAAAACATAAGTACATAAGTAAGAATTATCAACGTCAATGCCAGGTAGAGCCTAAGGAATGAAGTTCAAGAGTGCCTGGTGTCGGCCGGGCGCGGTGCCTCACGCCTGTAATCCCAGCAGTTTGGGAGGCCGAGACGGGCGGATCACGAGGTCAGGAGCTCGAGACCATCCTGGCTAACACGGTGAAACCCCATCTGTACTAAAAAATACAAAAAAAAACTAGCCGGGCGAGGTGGCAGGCGCCTGTAGTCCCAGCTACTCAGGAGGCTGAGGCAAGAGAATGGCGTGGACCCAGGAGGCGGAGCTTGCAGTGTGCTGAGATCCCGCCACTGCACTCCAGCCTGGGCTACAGAGCGAGACTCTGTCTCAAAAAAAAAAAAAAAAAAAAAAAAAGAGTGCCTGGTGGGCCTCTATTTTCATAACAATCCAGCCTATCATTCATGATATAATACTGTCAACCACCCACTTGCCAAACCTGGACTTATGTTTGTCAGCTGACAAAAGAATGTTGCGCTATCACTCAGGGGAGCTGCCTGCCAACTGTGTTGTGAGGGTATACAGATATATTTTAATAAATTACTACAATTTTCTAAATCAAGAAGAAAAAGTGTTAATATCAATGACTCATATAAGTCTCAAATGTAATACAATTAAAACAAATGTGGCAACAGACAAGCCAAAAATGGTTCCTAAGACTTAAAATGAGTAGACTATGTATTTAGGAAGAAAAGGAAAACATTAAAGAACACCTATGAGATGCTAAAGAGAGAATATTGCTTAGGTCTAAAAGCAAGGATAATAGGCAATCTTTTCATTGTTTAAGCTCTCTAGAAATGAAACCCTTCCCTTTTAACACAAAGTTCTAACGTCAGCATTTTTGACATATTTCATAAGTACTTTCAGTATCTTATCATATGCAAAAGAAGGGCCTATATTGGATCTAGCAATTAGTGATCACTAATGATTTTTGCAAAAATGATTTCATTGGAATAGCAGGAAGAAAAGCCATTCTAGAGCAGATAAAGTAATCAATAACAATAAATAAGTAGATACTAAGAGAGTATTTTCTTAAGAATACTAAATAGTAAAAAAGTCAAAAATAAGGGTGGTAATCTGAAGGAAGTACAAGTTAAAATAAGCCATCTGGGCATGTTTTCAAGACTGAACAGAGGGAGCCAGTGGAAAGAATAAGGCTGAAGTCCTGGGAAGGAGAGATGGAACAGTTTCCCTAGGAAGCAAGGTTATTTCCTAATTTGGAAAAGTGAGGAAATGTGGCAGAATTTTTACACTGGGAAGCTGGAGAAGTCAGCTTACCAAGGATAAAAGATTTGGGATGAAGCTTAATTACTTTTGCTGATATGCTGGGCTTATTATATGGAAAGTCATGTTTGAAATAACTGACCTGAATTAGCATTTTGAAGGAGAGCATGTGTCAAGGTAGGCCAGAGGATGATCACTCTAAAGTGAGACAAAATGCTCCTGTAACATCAAAATGGAAGTCCACCCCAACTTTTCCAGGACACCTAAGCTCTCCCTGAGGCCTTGTCTAGCCCAACACAGTATTATCAGAGGTTCTGAAAGGGATAATTCAGTGATGAGTTGCCCCTCAGGGTCTCCAGGATATCAGGATTATTTTAGAGAAAATAGCTTCAAAAGAAGAATATCTGAAGTATTCAGTGCATATTTGAATACTCTAATTACGCTCTAGGCAGTGTGACTTCAGTTATTCATAAAACAGGTAAAATCCAGGTAGCAACTGGGGGAAAAAAAAAAAAAAAAAACCTACAACCAGAAAAACAAAAACTGTACTCACCAGCTAGAATACAAGTCATTTTAAAATGCTACCAAACCTGACCCTTCCAAGGTAATATAGACAATAAAAGCTCATAACATGACTTGGTTAATTACGGGTTTACTTATCCTCAAGTAAAAATCTCACTTCAGGAGCTAATGAATGAATTTCTTAGATTACCTAACAAAAGCAAACTTAAATAAAAATCAGCTTTCAATTTTAAGAAAATGTGGTGACTTTACTTTCAGTTCAGCAATCTTACCTCAGTTAAAATGTTATGGTCATTTTATTTTGGGAGGGAGAAAAGGAAGAAGGAAGGGAGAGGGGAGAAAAGGTCACAGGCAGAATCAACTACCGAAGCAGTTGCAGGTATTAAGGCAACAAACACAAACCCAGGCAGCCAAGTTACAAGAGAATTTGTTTGATACAAAGGTCAACGGAGGCAAAGATAACCCCTCCAAGCTACAAGACCTTCAAAATATGTACAAAATAGAACTAAAGCTCCAAGAAAGCTAAAGGCTATCATCTGGAAGTTCTGAGACAGATAAAGAAGAAATATTTCCTCTAGTGAAGTGAGTTTCCTTTATTTATGTAAATATACATTACATATACACCTAATGTCAATTACCCATAGACAACAATATTTCAGTTGTCCTTACCTAACACCTGGTAGTGCTCTTTCTCCTTTGTGAGCTGTTGGTTTACTGCCTGAAGCAATTGCTGTAACTGTGTTACAGTCTGATTTAGACTTACAGACATTGTCTCCTTCTCAGAAGACTCCTGAAAAGAAGATGGAAGTGATGATAAACTCCATACACAAGGAAAAGAAATGTACAACCAAACAACAGAAAATGTTATATTGCTGATTTAAATACAAACACATAAAAATCTGAACAATGACACAAAAATCAACAACAGCAAAAAACACACAGAGAAATACTGTTTGCTAACTAGTGGTGCAAATTAGTTGGCACCAAAGAAAACTGCGTTACAAATGTTGTCACTTGGCCACAAAAGAAAAAAAAATCTAGAATCTATGACTATCAGAAACATATCCATTTTTTCTTTCAGAGAAAAAATTTGCCCCACAAAAGAAAGCACACTCCAAACAGTTAAAAAAGTTAATATATACTGAGCTCTTACTAAGTAAGTGCCAGGCACTGTTGTAAGTACTAACTATTTTAAGTGTTTTTATGTATTAACTCATTTACTTCTTTCAAAAACCCTACAGGATAGGTACTATTATCATTGCCTTTTACAGATGGGGCAACTAAAGCACAGAGTGGCTAAAGATTTGCCCAAATTCACATAGCTACTAAGTGGCAGAGCCAGAATTCAAACGTAGGCAGTCTAGCTCCAGAGTCTATACTTTAAGCCAGTGACACCCAACCTTTTTGGCACCAGGGACCAGTTTTGTGAAAGACAATTTTTCCACAGATGGGTGAGGGAGGATGGTTTCGGGATGAAACTGTTCTACCTCACATCATCAGGCATTAGATTCTCATAAGGAGCATGCAGTTCACAATAGGGTTTGCACTCCTATGAGAACCTAATGCTGCCGCTGATCTGACAGGAGGCAGAGCTCAGGCAGTAATGCTCATTCGCCCACCACTCATCTCCTGCTGTGTGGCCTGGTTCCTAACAAGCCACTGACTGTTACCTGTCCACAGTCCAGGGATTGGGGACCCCTGCTCCATACCTCTCAACACAAACCTTAAAATTAACATACCTCACTAAGCAAAAATGAGATCAAACATCACTACATTTTAGGGACAGGATATTTTCAAGAAAGATGACTTTAGGAGACGGACCTTATACATTTTTGGTCTTCACACAGGTCACAAGGTAACTAGCTCAGAGATCTGGGGATGAAGAAAATACATACCGTTTCTGGGGAAACATCACTATTTTCAATAACAGTAATGTCTCCAGCAGCTTTTACTATTTTTGACTGGATAAGCTCCAGTGACTGTTGAGCCTATAAGGAAAGCAATATGGTAGGTACTAAATAATACAGTTGATAAATACATAAAAAATGAATAATTTTATTCACTTTGTAGAAGATAAAAGCTCCTCTCAAATGATAAGGTTTTTCCCTCCAAAATGAAAATAGCTTCACCCCCCACCAGATTATAAGAACATATGTTCACTGCTTTTAAAAGCTTAAGTAATATAGAAACTATATAAAGAAATTTAAAAACAGAAATAACCATAGTTGATATTTAGGTTAGTATTAATCTAGATTAAAGGTTAGCCAAATCTGGCCCAAAGCCTGTTTTTGTACAGAACACAGGCTAAGAACGTTTTTTACTTTTTAAAGGGTTATGCTGTGGGGCGCGGTGGCTCACGCCTGTAATCCTAGCACTTTGGGAGGCCGAGGCGGGTGGATCACCTGAGGTTGGGCGTTCCAGACCAGCCTGACCAACATGGAGAAATCCCATCTCTATTAAAAATACAAAATTAGCTGGGTGTGGTGGAACATGCCTGTAATCCCAGTTACTAGGGAGGCTGAGGCAGGAGAACCGATTGAACCTGGGAGGCAGAGGTGGCAGTGAGCCAAGATAGTGCCATTGCACTCCAGGCTGGGCAACAAGAGCGAAACTCCATCTCAAAAAAAATAAAATAGGCCGGGCGCAGTGGCTCAAGCCTGTAATCCCAGCACTTTGGGAGGCCGAGACGGGCGGATCACGAGGTCAGGAGATCGAGACCATCCTGGCTAACATGGTGAAACCCCGTCTCTACTAAAAAATACAAAAAACTAGCCGGGCGCGGTGGCGGGCGCCTGTAGTCCCAGCTACTCGGGAGGCTGAGGCAGGAGAATGGCGTGAACCCGGGAGGCGGAGCTTGCAGTGAGCCGAGATCCGGCCAGTGCACTCCAGCCTGGGAGACAGGGCGAGACTCTGTCTCAAAAAAATAAATAAATAAAATAAAGGGTTATGTTAAAAAAGAGACAAAAATATTCTAAAGAGATCACGTGTGACCCACAAACCCTAAAAAAGCTTTGGGATTTGTCCACCCCTAGTTTAGATCCCTCTCTACATATTATGTGCTTATAGAAAATATTACATAAATGAGCTTTAACATACATACTGCTTTATACTTACCTGTTTTAAAAAGTATGTTATTAACCTTTTTTTTTTTTTTTTTTTTTTTAAAGATAGAGTCTTGCTCTGTCGCCTAGGCTAGAGTCCAGTGGTGCAATCTCAGCTCGCTGCAACCTCTGCCTCCTGGGTTCAAGAGATTCTCCTGCCTCAGCCTCCTGAGTAGCTGAGACTGCAGGTGTGCACCACCACTCCTGGCTAATTTTTGTATTTTTAGTAGAGATGGAGAGGTTTCACCCTGTTGGCCAGGCTGGTCTTGAACTCCTGACCTCAGGTGATACGCCCACCTCGGCCTCCCAAAGTGCTGGGATTACAGGCGTGAGCCACCACACCCAGCCATTATTAACTTTTTTTAGTCAAATATTTATGTGTATTTCCAATCAAATGTTGCACAATATTTCTACTGTATAGGTATGGGACAGTTAATTGTCACCTATCATTGCCATAAGATGGTATGTAAGTAAATAAGATGGTATATCTGTAACTTTAAGCACTTGTTTAGTATTTTTAAAGTACTTTCTAAGAAACTACATTGCTAGGCTAAATTGCATGTTTTATATTTTGATCCAGAGGTCAAAAATTAAAATCATGTATCAAAGTAAACTGACTGCTCAACCATGACAGTGCAGTAAGCATGAAAATTTGTCCTCTAAAACAGACCCAAATTCACATTCTGTCTACACTAAAATAATCTGAAACACTAGTGGATTTCTAGACTTTTACATAACAATTATAAACTATAAGCATATAGAATCAAAAAAAAAATTCAACTCTTTAAAAGGAGTATTATTTTAAAAAATGAGATAACTTTTAAAATCTATTAGAATATCAAATATTTAAACGTTAGACAATATCCAATACTAGTGAGGGTATAGGGAAATAATGCCTTCATACCATGTTGGGAGCAGTATAAAGTATTACTGTTGGGTTTCTGGGATTCCATTTTATACTATCAAAATTTAAGATGTGCGTACCTCTTGTTCTTGCAATTCCAAAGAGTGACATTTGTTTTGCTAATGATGATATATCCCATAAACACTATCATAGCTCTAAAACAGCTTTGATATAAGCATATGTGAATTCTACCATTAAAAATATCTCAAAATAGAATTATAAATAACCTGTCAAGCCAATGCAAAGAAATGCAGTCCTAAAAATCATTCCTTTGCATTGAGATTAGGAAAAATATATTTGTATGAAGAAATAAATGAAGGAAAAACTTCTTAAAAAAAACCAGAAATTTATAACTTTGTTTTATCCAAAAGACCAAGAGAAAAATACTTTGTAAATGAATACACAGCCAAATCCCAATTTTAAAAAATATATGGATGCAGCCGAATTTTAATAACTCCAACTAAATTTTACTCTGTACTTTATAAAGCAATTAAATATAGAAATGTGATGAAATAATGAGGTGAATTAAGAATCCTGGAAAAACAAGCCAAAAAGTTTCGTTCCAAAATAGTAACTAATAACAAGCAGCTTAAATTTATAAAAGGTTAATATAATGATGCAAAACAACAAACCCAGAATTAGCAGCATAACTTTGCTTAAGATTCAACACACAACATAGGCTCATGATACTACATCTCTAGGACAAACAGTGCCTACCTTATGCAAATCACCAGCTACCTTCTGTCTTTCATTTTGTTCAGTTCTAAGTTTTGTGAGTGTTTCATTTAACTGTGCCTTCAACTGTAAAAATAAAGGAACATCACAATTAACTTAATTTGCATCATTCTTTGATTATGCTGATACCTATAGGACTGAAGAATGAATGGGATTGCTAACAGTTATTATGCACAGTGGATTAGCCAATATGCTGCACCAGATGTATAGAAAGGCTAAGCAGTAGAGGTTTCCATCTGTAAAGCTAAACATAAGAAAAGCCACAGAAATGAACTAGTTTAGAGTAGAAAACCACAAATGCAAAAACAAAACCATCAAATTCCAGTAAAGTGTCTTTTAAAGGTATCGGTATTTATAGTCACTGAAATTATTCCAAATTAAAAACCAAACAGATACTTTACCCATTAGTTTCTAAAGGTTTTCTTAATCTATACAGTTAAGAGTCATTTATATAATATTTTTAAAGACATTGAACAGAAGACTACAAATCCAATCAAATTAAAATTCCCAAAATACTAACCATCATTTAAGGCTTCACTAAGGGGTAGTACAAGACCACACTGGCCTAAATTATACCATCAAGAAATGCCTTACGATACACCTATGAATAACCAATCTGTCAAAACAGAAAGTTCTGTAACTCCAATGCAAATATATAATGCCACTTCTCTGATTTTCCAATTAAATATGAGCAAGGAAAATGAACTATATTGCTCCCAAAAAACTTTCTACTTATTCTCATAAGGTAATTGTTTTTGCTTCCCACCCATGGGCACTTTTGAAACAGTTCTGGAGGCCCAAAGGTGGAAATACAAGGCAGTGACATTTAAAATTGGAGGGAGAATTAAAAAGGGGCAGCAGTGGGGCAGAGGGAAATTCCACTTGGAAATTTTATCTGAGGAACTCTGTAAGTACCTAAATAAATTTTGCTCCTTTATATAACTTTGAGTTTTAATATTCTCCATCAGACAAATGAACCTTTTGGTGGAAGAATACATAAAGTACATACAGGCAAACAAAGCTATTTTATCACAAAAAGTAGCAGCAGTTATCCTGAGCAAACAAACATCAAAATAAAGATTCCAAACTCAAGACTAGGGGAAAAAAGTAAGTATCAACCACTCAAAATAATCTCCTGACAGAACTAGAGTGACAAAAAATCAAAATAAAGCATTAAGCTGAGTGGAGATGTAACCATGTAACTGTTGAGTCAGCCACTAAGCACAAAGTTAATAAATAAAATCTCCAACAACTAGTTAGAAATTATTTTTTAAAAACATATTATAGGGTGAGGACTTATAGTCATGACATATCACAGTCTTAATCTGTGCAATGTATAGCACAGAACTAGTCTCACAATGCAGTGTGAATGAATTCAATTAAAGCAAAACATTGGTAAACAAAACAAAGATTTAAAAATTAGAGGTGTAGGGCTCTGCGTGTATAGGGCTGTGTGTGTATGAACATCCCTAATCTGAAAAACTCTGAAATGCTCCAAAATCCTGAACTTTTTAAGCACTGACATGACACTCAAAGGAAATGTTCATTGGAGCATTTCAGATTTCGGATTTTCAGATAAGGGACACATACAGAGCAAGCATATAATACAAATAATCCAAACTCCCCCCAAAAATTGCTGGTTCCAAGCATTCCAGATAAAGGATACACAACCTGTATTTCATACAGCTCTAAAAATTGATTCCCATAAATTTTTGCCATAACAGGATACCAACCACAAAAGAAAGAGTTAAAGTTTTCTTGGTACATGGAGTAATGCTAAAAAGAAAATTCCAAACCGGGCAGGGTGAACTCTGGGTAAGGAGAAAACTTACTGTAATCTTCTGAGAGTTTATTAAGGTACTTAAAAAAAAAAAAAACTAATCCCTGTGCTGTAACAATTTTTAACTCACAAGGAAGACATAACAATTGTTTGAAACAGAGAGCAAGACAGCCATATTTGTCTAATAGCTAAGTCTGTCACAATCAGTACAGTTTTTAGAAAACTTAAGAATAGGAATACAGGGTACTATATGTTTTAAGACATTTAACTAACTTTATCTCAAAGTCTATGCTTTTAGGATCACCATGCTCCTATGCTTTATTATCAACACCAAATATGTTGATAATAAAGACTTTAATATGTTTTTTAATATTTGTAATATATAGAGAGACTAGGTTAAAATTAGAAACTGGATTACTGTCCTTGAATGAAGAATATGTGTCTTTGGCTTTCAATATAATCTTCTCCCAGGTTAGAAAATAAAAGGCCCCATTAACTATGATAGTCCGAGAAGAAAATCTTTGTAACTCAGCCAACCTTTATTTCATTTCTTTATTCACAGAAAAGACTGCTGTTTGAGAAAACAGGATTTATAAAACATGGAAAATTTTGAAAAAGAGCTGGAAGCCAAACATGCCATTGTTAAGAGCTAAGAAAAGAAGGATCATTTTAGGAGTCAAGAAATGAAAGATACTCTTAGGAATCATCGGAATATGAAGATTATCTTAGACTTACAAAAAGGCCAAGCTAAAGATGTTAGCAAAGAAAAAAAAGCTTTGATGGTTTCTCCACATGTCAACAAAGTGTTTTCAGTGCCTACTTGATACCCAGTGGAGGACAAGCATCTTACCAAATTTAGCTCTTCATTCTGTCTTACTGCTTCAGAATATGAATCATCAAGTTTTTTCTGCAATTCAGTCAACAGATCTTTCAGCTGCAATGAAGTTTAGAGTTTAAGATTGATCTCCTTATGATAGCCCATGTTTTGTATTCTACTCGGAAGCTCTGCCACAAACAACTTATACTGAAATATCACTGTTATAAACTTAATCTGAATTGTGAAGTAAGTTTGAAAAGATTCTGTTGTAAGTACCTCTCTGACTTCTGTAACATAGGTAGATCGTTCCATCTCTGCCTTCTCTAGTTCCATTTCCAAATGTTCTCGTTCTCTTCTCAGCTAGCAATTCAACAAAGGAAAAGTTAACACACTTAAAATTTCCTTTCATAATATTTCCCCACAAGGCAAAGTTATGACACTTACGAATATAAAACTATATCAACTCAAACACTACCCAAGATATTAAGAGCATAACTATAAACTAATCTTAAACCATACATCTTCAGACAACCATTAATGCTAAAAACAAATCTATAGGTTATAAGTAAAACAATCAAATAACATACATTTTCAATATCCTTATTTTCTCTTCTTAATCGCTCTAGCTCTTGTTCTGAAGATGTAAATGATGACTGCATCTGAAATGTGAAACAATTAAATGGCCAAGTAAACCACCAAGGATATAGCGGTTTCTATCCTGTAGAATTCTGAATCAATTAAAAGACACTTCCAAGGTTTTGAAATGCATCTCATTTAAAGTCTTACTGAATTTTAAAAGACCTTAAACATGAGAGTCACATTGAACTTAATTTAAATTGTGGTCAAAACCTACTCCAGTTGTATATTAAGCTCAGCTAAAAGTGATTAATTTTTGATTAGTATTAACTGATATTCAGCTGTATTTATTCTGCAAGTGCATTAAAGTAGAGTACTATCAGCAACTGTAAATTCTGCACGTTGGTCCCAAAAAATAAGTGAGTAACAGATGGTACTCTTTATCACGCTGAAGTAAATGGGAGAAAAATTAAGGTTGCACAATAACATTCAGGTCCCACAAATAGAAGAATGACTTAACTTTTTCTTGAATTCTGTATTATGGGTTAAATACTTTAAAACTGATTTTGAACCCACTATTCTTTACCTTATCACACAATAATTCTATAACTAGCACTCTACATTCTATATGATTACCCTTTAGTCACACTTTAAAACCAGTGATTTTCAAACTTGGGTGGGCATTAGACTGTTCTGGAGGGCTCATGAAGACACAGACTGCTGCCACCCCACATACATGTTTTGGATTTGGTAGCTGGGTTGGGGCCCAAGAATGTGCATGGTGATGCTGATGCTGCTGGGGCAAGCCCCACACATTGAGAACCACTGCTCTAAGCTTTTCTTTTGTAAATACCTGTTTAATAGTCTTGTGTGATTCATCGACCTTAACTTTCCATTTATTTTCTTCTTGCTCAACACTTCTCTGTAGCTTCTGTAAAATTCCTTCCTACAGACAAAAGTATAGTTGTTTTGAAAAATTCATGTTCTAATGCCAAGATAAAAACTATTTAAGCCATGAAGGAAGAAGGTAATGATTTAAAGTAAAATCAAAATATAGATTAAAAATCATTTCCTACTGTTTCTGCAAGGACGGATTTGTATTTTTCACACTCTAGCTGTAACAATGTGTGCATTTCATCAGCTTCTTTCAACTTGTACTCTAGAACCTGCAAAGAATGAAATAAAGAAAACTTCCATAATTCCACCAGAAAGTTTTGTGCTTCAAGTTTGTTTTAGTACTTAATACTGTATTATGATAAATGGTTTCAAAGTATTTCACAATGACACACTACATTTCGACCTTTCTAAGTAGCAATAAAGTTCATTCAATGACCCCTTTGGTCATTTTTATTAAACAATGCTATAATAAAAAGTCTTGGTACTAAAGTCTTTAGTCAGGTGGTAAGATCAAAGCAGACCCACATGTGAAGTACAGTCACAATGCCTATGCTACTACACACATGGGAAACAGGGTTTTATTCATGCCACTTGAGATATAAGAAAACAATAATAATAAATCTCCCCAATTTCAGTAGCCAAGGATAAAAACCAATCCAGTTTCTAAATACCTCTAATGATGTATTTGAGGATGCTTCAGCAAACCAGTGAGATTCTACCTATCTCGACTGATCTTTACTTTTTAAATCCAGGCTAAAAAGATAGTAAGAGATAAATATTCAATTTTAGAAACAATTAAAATACAGAATGAAAGGAATGGCAAACACTAGCTTTGTAAACAAACCAAATGCAAAGACGACCTACTGTATTTCAACTAAAATTTAAACAAAATGAAATCACCTTCTTACACTCTCTCAAAAGAGCCTTATTTGATTATCTTTTATCTTTTCCAAGCTCAAGAAGATAAAATCTTATTTGCTTCTTTTTTCTATGTTTAAATTACAAACAGTTCACTTCTTGAACTAACCTTAACCTCCTCTGACCCTGAAGTTCCAGCCATACATTCTTTTGCCTTCTTTTCAAATCCATGCAACCATTCACTATAACTCTGTGGATGAGAAAAGTTAAAATCATTAATTTTCAAAAACAAAAATCTAAATGAAACAGGTCAAACATTTAAAATAATCAAATTAGATAATTATAAAAGAAACCTACACAGACAAACAGGACACTGCTACAAATTTCAAAGAGGAATGTAACTACTATGTAAGTTGGACATAACCCACTTTTAAAAACAAGCACTAAAAACAGACCTACGTACCTACCATCAAAATAAAATATTATATACCTAACCAAGAATATTTTCAACTGAATTCTGCAGTTGCAGGTAGAAAAACCTGGGTTCAAATCTGGCCTCTACCACTTACTAGCACCAGGACAAATAATCTTTAAAACACAAAAAACCCAGAATGATTTTTCAAAACTGTTTCCAGATAAAACAGTTCTCAAAAATGAAGTATTTTGAGTTCATAAAGTGAAAGTTCAACTGAAGATGTTCCATTTGGAGGATTTCAAATTCTATGAAAATGTGCCAAGGACTCTAAAAATATTTCAAATTAGGAAATATTAAGTATTTTTAAATCCTAATGAGAAGTGATATGCACACACATTTACTTATTTAAATCCAACAAAAACTCAATTTGTGCTGACAGGTTAGCTGATGTAAATATGCATCTATTACAATTTTGGCATTTACTCTAAATTTTAGAATAAATTACTCTAAATTATTAATGCTTATCTGAATTTTACACTTTGATAAAGAGTATCTGTGTGTCAGATACTTTAAATCAAATTTCCTCTTATTCCTTAAGTCTTTGGATTAAATTTAAGATAAAAAACTCATGAAATTTTTATTAACTGCTATAATATAAACTGTTACATATGCAGCTGAATCAGGATTCTCTGCAAACTATCAAATAACAAAAAACAAGTAGATGCTGAGTCACTCCATAGTACAATACCTTTAATAATGTCAAATTAGTTTTAAAACACTATTTAACTTTCTTACAATATAAATCTGAACCAAGACTAAATGTACACTATCAGAATCCTACTTAACAGTTTCAACTATTGGTACCCAACATAAATTAAAATAAGTTAAAAAACTAGTTTCGTTGCTTAAAGTTTGTAAATCTCCCTCTAGGTCATATAATTTAGATCTCTCCTATGCTGACTGCTCAGCAAAACAATAAAAGAAAACAGTAAAAAAATTTATATATTTTTATATCTACTGATTATCTTGACTTATCCTAATGTTAATGAAGCCTATTGCTTTATTATTTTATAAGGTAAATAGTTTATTGTTCTTCATATCTTTACAAACCTAAAATGCCAGAGTCTAATGTTAGCACACAGAAAGTTTAGTACATTTCCTGTAGACTATATGCAGAAATACTCAACTTTTAACAAGTATATGAACAAAAGCCAAACAATATCATCCATATCTTATGATGACTTATAAATATTTATAGTGTCAAAAAGATTTGGTTACTGACAGTGGATAGTATTGCTGTTAAAAAAGAAAATTTTTACTGTTGGTGATCTTATACAATCTTTGAAGGACAGAAATTATCAATCATTAGTTCTCTTGGTTCATAAACTACTGCCAAAAAATACATCCCCCAATATTATTTCTATAAATAAAATATAAAGTAGAAACAAAAACGGGTTATGCCACAAAGAAAAAAAATTAAATATATTAATAATAACCCTTTCTCTTAGGTTTGATTTAACAACAGCACTAGAACTGATAGCGTATCTATACATTTACTCGGTGCTAGATATCTCATCAGTTCAACTCAAAAGCGGTAGAGATCTCCGAAACTGATCAAATCTGAACATATCCTCGATAGTTACAATGGAAACAAAGGAGTTTTATCTCCTTACTTGAAATAAATGTAGGCTATACTTAACTCAGACTACAAATAGAACAAGCCATTAAGTTTACTTACCCCACCCCTAGCACCCACAGAGCTCCTTGGAGAAATAGTTGATTCTATGTTTGGGGCAGGAAATGTATATGATAAATCAGGAGCACCTTATCATACCACAAAGCATAGAAGCTATCAAAGTTTAGCAGCATTGTGTCAAAAACGACTTGGTAACCAACCTAAATAAGTTCCAATGGGCCAAAGGAAGACAAGCAGACATTACGAATCTCCTGATGAAAGTGCACACCACTGCCTATGAAGTGGTCTTGCCCCTACTCTACCCTACCCCCAAAATACTGAGCCTTAATCTGACCAGGAATCAGATTCCTGATTACAGATTTGACACATAAAAGATATATAAAGAAAAGAGGAACATGCTACCACCACAGGGATGCAGTCAACTAAATCCAAACTGTGGGAAACTTCATAGGAAACCACTAAGTCTTTTGTTTTTTTTTTAAAGGAGGTGGGGTGTTGCTGAGAAAGAGTGGGAGAACCCGTGGATTAAAAAATATCTAAGAGATGTCTCTAACCAGTTATATACTGACCTTATTTGGATCCTGATTAAAACAAACTACAGTAAGTTATTATTAATAAAATAGACAATTTATATGACAACTGGAGAAACGCATACTATACAAAATTAAGAATGTGTTTTGAAGTGTAATATGATACTTTTTAAAGACAAATACTTATGTTTTAGAAATGTGTACTGAAATATTTACGGATGAAACGCTCTGATGTTTGAGTTCCTTCAAAATAATCTAGGGAGTACAGGGTAGGAGGTAAAACATGATTGCTTATATGCATGCCATGCACTGATAAGTGCCATGGAGAGATGTTGGGTACATCGGGCCTCATTATGCTTGTCTCTCTACTGTTGAACAGTTTTCCATTAAAAAAAAAAAGAAGACCCTACACTCTATTTTAGGAAACTCACATGCACATTCACTGACTTTCTCTGTCCTCAAATAATTATTGTTAATTCTCTGAACAAACAAGAACATGTACTACCTCAAATAAACCAAGTTGTTCTATATTATCTGTAAGATTTCTGCTTGAAGAAGGTAATAGATGACCAAAAATCTTGAGCTTTAAAACGCAAAGAGCCTGGTTCATAGTATCAAGTACATTAAGGAAGTGTTGCTAAAACTAACAAGCAATCACTTAAAATTAAGTTTTAAATAAAGCCATTAAGAATGTTACCATATTGGTTTTATTAGCATTAAAAAACACTTCTTTCCCAAATGATGTTTTTAATCCCCTAAATAACGTCTCATAAAATGTTATAGAAACAAAAGTATCAGGTAAATAAAAATCAGTTTCAAATCAAGTTATTAATCTTTACTGAAAAGCACCAGCTTAACAATGGGAAAGATCAAGGAATCAGCACTCTACTGAAACAAAGAGGAGTGCAAATGATGTTGCTTATTCATACCTTTCCTGAATAATGTCATCATGTTAAAAAAATAATAAATTAGTCTTACCAAATTAGAAGGGACAGACACCTTTGGAAATAATTTTTTGAGAACTTCTTTAGCCTCCAACTCAACAGCTTCCACCTGTTGTTGTCTTTCCTAAAGCAGAAGATGAACCAAATCAAACTCACAAGATCACAGAATTTTTTAAAAACAGAAAATAAAAAACTATGGTGTCTTAAATTCTACAGGAAGAAAAAGTTAAAAAAAAAGTTTAATACTGACAAATGTTAAAATTTCCCACTTTAAGATATTAAAATGCTCCCATAAGAAAAAATCTGCAAAATCTCTAAAGCATCCTAAATACCAAATAATGCCTTAGCAATATCTGACAATATGGACATTTTCCTTGGCATTTAGAAATCAAGTGATTTGCCTGTCCAGAACACTTCAAAAATAGACACACAAAAAACACTTCTTATAGCTAAAACTTCATAAACTACCGATAGCAGAAAATACACATTGGAGGAACATAACTGAGGTTTATTGGCTGGTATATCTCTATTAAAAAAAATGCATCACTTATGGACCATATAATGTCATGGCATTAAAATGGTAACTTCCTTATTTCCAACTTCAAGGCCATGTGAAGTATTTATGCTAAACAAGGAGGACCATCAAAATCTGATGGATGATATAAATGGGAAAAAGAACAAGGAGCAACTGATGGCATATTACTTCACTAATGCCACACATCATAAAAACTAGTTCTGACACTTGTATATGGACTCTGCTATAAATTTACAAGTATTACAAATGTGTAAGTCTAAATTTGCTGATATTAAATCCAAGTCTAATGCATATCAATTATAACTCAAAACCATGGTTTGTCAAAATTAGGGTAATGACTTATCACACACCAAAAAAAAAAAAAAAAAAAATCTAACATTTAAAGCAATGCACATCTAAACCAAGCCAAGAAAATCATCTAAAAACAACAGTCACAAAGTTCAACAGGTGACAGGAAGGCAAGCAAGCTAGAAACTTCTCAACCATATCTTTCCCCCAACATTTAGATGTGAAATTTGAAATCTATCACTGATTTAAGGTCTACACACTTCAATTTTAGAAAATCTAATCATATGAAAATTTACACAATAAACAGCTGCAGATTTTGCCATTTTCCATACACACAAAAAGCTGTTAATTAAAGATCAGCAGATTTTTACAATAGGTGTTTTAATAGGGTATTTTCAATAATTCAATGAAGTCCACTAATTTTCAGGAATATACCTAACTACATAAAATAAGGAAAACAATTAATGCTACTTCAAGGATATTAAGAGGTAATTCTTATCATTTGACCAAAGCAGTAATCTTTAAAGAAAACCGGTTAGCAAAAGAAACACTGAGGAACAGCTTTTTGAAAACTTTCCAAGGAAAAAAACAGACTAAAAGAACAAAGTGTCTAACATAACCAAGAGCCACAAACATGGGAAGTTACTTTCATTTGGTATCAACAATTTTATCTAAGAAGTTTTCACCTGACATAGTAGTTTGGTTATAGATAGCAATTTCCATTCCATTTTAACATCTGGGAAAGATCTAATATTGAAACTGAACTATAATTTGCATACCATCTTTAAATGAAATGTATACAAGTCTTTTTCAGTAGCTCCTCAAGAGTATTTAGCCTTTAAAAATAATCCTGTAAAGACAGCATATATCATCCTCTTTACATTTTAGGTAAGCTGACCATAACTTATTTCTAGTTAAAATACTGAAAGTGTTTCACATAGTTCCTTCTCATCACAACATAATTTACAGTACTGGGTCAATCAACATCTCTTTCACCTATGCTATCTAAGGACTGTCTAAATTCCATTGAAATATAGAAGACTTTCTATTCTATTCTCTGCAGATCTTTAGCTATGCAAGAAGGCATCATGCACAAGAATTCTAGCTTTCTTTTAAAATCATAAAATGCAAAAATGCCTATGGCAAGTAGCATGTAACTTCTTGTAGGAATGGCATGATGAGCACCCAGATACCCAGTCTCACTAACAAAATAAAACCAAAAAGGTGGCTCTTAACCGTCAAAAACAAAGTAATAGAAACAACCAGAAACCACACTAAAACCCTGACAGAAATGACTGTACAATTGCAACCACTCCCAATGAAATAATGAAATGTCCCAATGAAACGTCCTATCTGACCTAGATTTTAATACTCTGTGGTCCCAATAAACTTCCCAGCTATCTCGAATTTAACCTTTACTGAAAATTATGGCTAGATGAATAGGGATGTAGTTAAACACAAATCCACTAAGCTATAGGAAATATAACTATAAACGTATACTTGCTAAAAAAAAAAAAAATTACAGAACTATTTTATACTTAAAAATTCCTTCAGGTGTCACTAAGACTTATATTAAAGATTCAATAGAGTACCGTGGCACACAAAATATTTTCACAGTGCTAAAATGAATCATGTAGGTTCCTTCATTTACCTATCTGCAAAATTCAATACCCCTGTTTCACATTTATTTTTGGCAGGAATTTTCAAAATACTTGACTGGACTGGCAGATTCAATTTTTTCAATCTTTAAAAACAACCTCTCTATGACAATTCATTAGAAATCTTCACACTCAATGGTACAACTTGAGCTCAAGGAGAATGTCCTCCATTGTTCTGAAGACAAAGGGGGCTATATATTTCAAGAGTACTTCACATACTCTGGTCAAGAGAATTATCCCTTGACAGTAATATTTCATCTAAACATGCCATATATGTCATTGCTATCCAGTAATATATGAAGTTTCAGTCCACCACCTCTAAGGAATCATTCCCAGCAACATACCGAAAGTTGATGCCTTTCCTGTATTTAAGACTTTTAACATTTTTCTACCTTATCTGTGACATCTTGGTGTGCCCTCCAAAACACCTAGTTTATGGCACATCCTACATATTCAAATGTGTTTGTTAATTCACCTAGATTTCTTTGGTTCAAAGTTTTCATGAAAGTTATCTTAACCAACCCAAAAGGCGCATATTGTCTGACAAGAGGTTAACATCAGTCTTCTGAGACTCTTCAGCTTAAAGTTGTGCTCAACAAAGCCCAAACAATCAGGTAATCACAACAAATCAGCATGCCCAAAATTAAAGCTTCAAGGAGTAGATGAAAAAAGCAGAGATGATAGAGATGATAAATGTGGACAAGGAGATTTTATATTTAAATTGCAGTAAAAGTAAATGCTTTAGTCTGATTTTAAGACAAGCTGCAGATTTTCTCTGTTCAGTGGATTGTTTCTAGGAGTTAGCATTACAACCTTGGAAGTCTTGTTCACTTTGTCCTGCAGCATTTTTTCAGTTGATGCCAATGCTTCCATTGCTTCCCAGTTTTTCTCCCGAAGGTCCTAATCATTTTTAGAAAGAATGATTTCAGTTTATCCATTATTGAAAGATTTTTGCTTTTTTACTTCATCAGTATTTTGCACTGCATTTAAATGCTGGTTACTGCAAAATTATTTCAATGGGGAAATATGCATATTAGCAAAAAAATAAAAAGCAATGTTTAGAAGTTTGAATGAGAAAATAAAGACGCCCACTTTCCATGTTTTAGTATATATACCAAATAGGCCAGCTTTTAAAATAACTACTATGCACATGTGACAAAGAAGAAAGCATTCAAAAGTAAAGACACAAACCAAGAATACATACATAATTTCAGGTACATTGAACATTAGAAGATTAAAGACAGAGCAAATATAGAAGTATTACAAAAAGCTTTTCATCTGATGTTTAAACAAGGCCCAATAACACTCATAGGACTTTCCACTGCAGTGTAACATTTTTTTCTCTATGTTTTAATACAATTAACATGTTTCAAATCTACCTAGGAATCCCATAGTAACCCACTATGTTCTATGTCTTTCTTGGCATGGCCTAACATTCATGCCACAAAACAACCTTACATGAATTGTATGAGCTAGTTGATCAAAACAAAGGGGAAGGCTGGAAGGCTATAAAATAGATTCTCTTGGAGGAGACAGAGGTTATTAAAAATTGAGAGATCTGGATTTTAACAACATTTCATTCACAAATATAAATATAATCTTCTATATTTCAGTCTTTTTTCCAGAATGAGAAATCTAAACAGATAAAAACCAACAACAAAAAATAAAAAGCCAATAATCACCATTTATTACTTAATATATGCCAACCACTGTACTTGGCAGTTCACAAATTCTCATCGTTACAACAACCGCATGAGGTATTTATTCTCATTCTATAGATAGGGAAACCACAGCTCAAGTAAGTTAGGAAACTGAGCCAAGTACACACAGAAAATGAAGTGGCAGAACTAAAAGGAAAGACTGACACTGCTATCTGCTGGCCTCCAGTGTCCTGGCTCTTTTCACATGGGTTCAGTGTCTCCAGCGCTGCTGCTGCTGATGCTGCTGCTGCTGCATTACCATGCCCTCCTTATCTCAGAATCCCAATAATAAAACACAGTTAAGATGTTAGCAGTATATCGGCAAGTTCACCTCAAGTTTCGTGGCTAAGCAATGCTGTTAGTACTGTTATACCAACATACAAGCGGCAATTCATGTACCTAATTTTGACAAACTCAGGGGTACAAGAAAATGTCAACTTGTTAAATTAACAATTTAATGCAAACTTTGAAAAATAGAAAACACACATCCATTTACTAGCAATACTCCCTTAGATTTCAGTAACAGTTTACCCTTGCTCAAGTGTTAGCAATCACAGTACAGTGTACAAAAATTTCTTCTCTAGCAAGAATGGTTGGACTCTACTTTATAGGTGTTGTCCTCTGGTATGAGAAAATTTAAGAAATTCTACTAAATTCATTATTTGTCTACTCAGTAAGTTATTAAGATTCATATTTCTGGAAGCACTATCCCTCCCCTTTCTAGTATAAACATAGTTAGGTTCTATGGCCTCTAACACACTTAATTACCAAAATTTGAACCACCTCTCAGTTAAAAATGAGAGGTTCTGGCCAGGTGCCATGGCTCACACCTAATCCCAGCACTCTGGGAGGCCAAGGCAGGTGGATCACTTGAGGTCAGGAGTTCGAGACCAGCCTGGCCAACATGGTAAAACCCTATCTCTACTAAAAATACAAAAAAAATTAGCTGGGTATGGTGGTGCACACCTGTAATTCCAGCTACTCGGGAGGGTAAGGCAGGAGAATCACCTGAACCCAGCAGGCAGAGGTTGCAGTGAGCCGAGTTCATGCCACTTCCAGCCTGGGCGACAGAGGAAGACCCTGTCTTTAAAAAAAAAAAAAAAACCAGAAGGCTTTCAAAAGACCTCATTACTGAGTATACTGGGTTTGAATACTGGTATTACTTTTGGTTTACAAAAAGGCCAGCCCAATCTAAGAGGAAATATCTTTGATTTTAAAATACCAAGCTGAAAAACATGTTTTCCAAATAAAAGTTCAACAAAAAGTCAACTGCACTTTTAGTTTTTAAAAATAACTAAAGGTGTAATAATTATAACTTAACATTTAAATATTTATAAGAATAAGAATTCGTCTTTTCACTTATTTTAAAAAAACTGTTCTCCAATAATGCCCCACCCCCCAAAAAACTACACACGGAAAATAGTACTTTCTCACAAAGATTAAGAAATCTAAAGTAAAAGTAGATTTAAAAAAATTCCTGGACCATACTTCAGTGTTAAAGTAATAAAAAGAAAAGCTTCATTCTGATTAAGATTTACTTACATTGTTTTTCTTCCTTTGGTGTTCAACTGCATCCTTCAAAGAATCTAACTCATTCCAGAGACCACTTATCTCTTTCTCTCTTTCTGAAATTCTAAACCAGAACATGAACACGTGTAGCAAGATTTCAGGTAAACAGTAATACAACTCAGATCCCTACCTATCAACATTTGTTACTACAAAATAAGAATATCAAGAAATGGTACCTTGAAAAGTACATTAAAGAGTCTACCTACTGTTTAACATAGAAAGCCCATCCTATGAATTTCAGAAATGATTTCTAAGTTTTTATACCCAATATGGTACGCTTAGGCTTATGCTAAAGAGAAATCTCATTCCCTAAGAAACAGTTTATGAATATATTAACTGTTGTAGCTATTTATATTTTTACTTGGGTCAGTACACAGTAGCTATTTTCAGAGGAGTTAAAACGGATGTAGAAGCAGTCCCTTAAATATTTTTCTTCCCAGAGGGCAATGAAATCAGTTATAACTTTAAATGGCTAACCCACAACAAAAGTATAATATTAAAGTGAGCTCAGTGTTTTCTTGCCATTTTCATACCAATCTCAGCATTCATGTTTTTTTCTGCTACTGTTTCCCAGAAACGCAGAATGCAATGGCAAAGATTCATAATTTGATTCTGGTGTAGTTGAGAGTGGCTGGAGTAGAAAGTTAAATAACAAATAGCTCTTCGCTTAGAATCAGTGTCTATATAAGAAGCTGGCAAACTAAGGCTATGGGCCCACTCCACAGTCTGTTTCTGTAGGTCCTCGAACTAAGAGCTGTTTCTACATTTTAAAAGTGTTGTTTTATATATACATGTACACACATATACACATATATATACACATGTATAAAACAGACCTATGTGTCCCACAGGCCTAAAATGCTATCAAGGCCTTTACAGAAAATGTTTGCCAACCTTTGCTCTATATAGTCAAACTCAAGATTCGATTTAACAGTCAATAATTCTAACCTAGTAAACAAGCAACTCTGTAAACCAAGATGGAAAAACATTTAGATTATTAAAAAAAAAAAAAAATTAACAATTTTCCCGATAGATCACTTACATCATCTATTAATATACTTAATGTGGTTGACATTTTAACATGTTGAAACACACTAACTTATGTGAAATGACCTTAAATGTAGCCTCACAGAGAAAATTACAGGCTAACAAGAAAAATGTATCAGTTAAAAAAAAATCTCCTTAAGAAACATAATCATAAAGACTACATATATATATTTTTTTCTTGGGGCCAGGCTGGAGTGCAACGGTGTGAACTTCCTGGGCTCAAAAGACCCTCCCACTTCAGCCTCTGGAGTAGTTGGAACCACAGGTGCATGCCACCACACCCGGAATTTCTAAACTTTTTGTAGAGACGAGGTCTGACTATGTTGCCCACGCTGATCTCAAACCCCTGGGCTCAGCAATCCTCCCGCCTCAGTCTCCCCAAGTGTTGGGATTACAGGTGTGAGCTACCACATCTAACCTAAAATTTCTTTAAAAAATGAAGCTAAGCCAAAATTTGCATCATTCAATTACACAATCACACCTAGAAGAAGACCCAGTAAGATAACTGAGATAATAGAAGGTGATTTAGAAAACCCTGCAAAGCATAGTTTAACTTGATCTGAATGCCTCAAAAAACAAAAACAAACATCTCCCTCAACAAAATATTCAAATCCAAGTACTATAAAAAAAGCATCTTAGCCAAAGGTACCGCTCAACTCTAAACTGTAATTCAAGATATCCAAATAGAACTATAAAAATCAGGGGCCATTTGCAGTTACTACTAAACTGCTTATTTGAGAACGGTTTATTACATAAAAACAGTCACTGCTTTATATACTGTGAATCAAACTTATTACTTACACTTTTAATAATTCTTCATGAGGGGGAAAAGAAGATGCCTATCAAAAGAGTTAAATGTTATTTCAAAACGAAACTTTTCAGGAGACTTAAAAATATTGAAGCTTTTCTCAGATATAAATTAAGAAAACAACAAAAGTAAAAATAGCACATATTTCATATAAAAGTCACCCTGACTTTAATCAAATAATTTTAATAAAAACATGTACAAATCTGTAAAATGTATTGAATGCTAAATCCAATCTTCACTGTCGCAACATACTTAAACTCTTCATTTAGTAAGTATTTATCAATTTCCCACTATGTGTATGGAAGCATATCTTAAATTTTCAAACTGCACAATTCATATTTGACTACATAAAAATGTTAAGCTTCCAAGTTAAAAAAAAAAAAAAACAGAAATGAAATCAAAAGAAAAACTAAGATAAGTTATGTTTCCTCACGTTTAACAAAAAGTTAATTATACATCAACATGCAAAGGTACACAGCCCTTCATATATGGTATTTATTCCTTGGTGACAATAATCTCTCAAGCTTCTTGTTTGCAAGGACTCCAATTTATTTGTTTCTCAAAATACTATCAAGTCTATCCATATACATTCATAAATTAATTTAAAGGCTATTTTGGGTAGCATCTTTTATAAAAACACATTTTGGTTTTTACCAAGCAGAATTATAACTTGAAAACCTCTTTTAAATAGTAGTACACTATCGCTTATGATACACTTGTTAGTTTCTCTCCAGTTACCAATGTTTCATTTGGGATGACAGAGTGTGTACACACATCTTTAAGCCAACCGCTACAGTATTTAAACTGACTTGCTAAGAATTCTAGGATCAGAAAACAAACAGAGATACAAAACAGAGCTGGAGTACAGGCAATAATATTATTTGTGTATACATTATAAATTATAGATTTGTTTTACTTTGGATATGACATAGCAAGTTGCTTTTTTATATAAAATTTGATAAACATAAATGAAACATACTTTATTCTCAATAAAAATGCAGAAATGGCAAAAATACTTATATGTCACTGGTTATATAATTTTTTTGCCACCTAAGTGAAAGGCAAGACATCTAATAGTACCTACCTGTTGGTAGTTTTGTTGTTTAAGCTGTTCAATTTGGGACTTAAACAATTTGTTTTCATCTTGTACATCCTAATTAAATAAAAATTAAACATCAGTATCTAAACATTTTTTTCCACATAAACTTAGATCATACAAGCTAGAAACAGATCATACAAGCTAGAAACAGATCATACAAGCTAGAAAAATTCCAAAATAGCAATAATTTTAAAGTGTGTAATAAGCTCTATATTAAAACATATGATGAAATTAGAGTATTTATATTAGTACTAGCAGCAGAGTTTGCATGTCTCAATGGAACAAAATAGAATCCAGAAATATACCCAAATAGCTCCAAGAATTTAGTATGAAGTGACATTTCAAATCAACCTCAACTCCAGTAACATTTTGGGCTTGATATTTTTCTTTGCTGTGGGGGGTTTATCCTATGCACTGCCAGACATTTAGAAGCATCCATGGCACCCATCTACTAGATGCCCCAGCCCCGCTGCCCCAGCTGTAACACCCAAAAATGTCTTCAGATATTGACAAATGTCCCCTGGGGAACAGAATCACTATTGTTATGATGGATTATTTAACAATGTGGCTACCCTTCTCTTTTTAATGGTTACAATGTTATTGTTACAGCTTACTGATACAAGTTACATGAAATAACCTAAACAAACAAAAAGAATTATAAACATATTAGAAGAAAATGTATTTTTTTTTTTTTTTGATGGAGTCTCGCTGTGTCACCCAGGCTGGAGTGCAGTGTTGTAATCATGGCTCACTGCAGCCTCTGTCTCCCGGGTTCAAGTGATTCTCCTGTCTCAGCTTCCCGAGTAGCTGGGACTACAGGCACCTGCCACCATGCCTGGCTAATTTTTATATTATTTTAGTAGAGTCAGGGTTTCATCATATTGGCCATGTTTGGTCTCGAACCCCCGACCTCAAGAGATCCACCTGCCACGGCCTCCCAAGGTGCTGGGTGGGATTACTAGTGTGAACGTACCACACCCTGATGAATATATTTTTATGATCGTAGAGAGACATCTTTCTTCCCAAGACTTAAAACTCTGGAAATTACTTATATTTGAGTACATAAAAGTTTCAAATTTCCCAAAAAGGTTTTTCCCCTTCACAAATGAAGTCAGAAGAAAAAATGGGGAAAATAAATCACTTCGTATAATAACAAAAGGTTATTTAATTTCCTTTATTACATAAAAAAGACCTTACAAATTAGTAAAAGAGTCAACCCAGTGGAAAAAATGTGGGAAAAATTAAAGGACAATTCATATAAAAATGGCTTGAACATATGAAAAACGCTTAACTTCTCTCACAATCAAAAGCAAATTAAAAATAATCTTACCATCTTTCAAGTATAATATCAAATATTTTTACCCTTGTCAATGTTGGAATGGAAGAAGGGGAAATGGCCCTTAGTTGGTGAGAGTGTCAATTAGTAAAAACACTTTTGGAGGTCTATTTAGCACTAACAAAATTTAAAATGAACCTACATGAGAGGGAGAAGGAATGTGACAGACTCAAACTTTGAAGCATGTAATGTGAGCAAGATTAATCCAAGACAATGTAGGCATCTACAAATTTGCTACTACTTCAAATCAATGTTCTGTAACTAATTTGAATACTAACTGCATGAAGGTGAGAAGATACTGATTTTCTATTTAACTATCTCTTTCAACAAACAAAAAACCGACATAAGCCTTGATCCAGAATTTCACTTCTAGGATACAGATACACTATTCAAAACGTGTGCAAGGATATTCACTGCTGCATTGTTTGTGCAGAAAAAAACAGCCCTAAATAATCTAGGTATCCATCAACCGGGATTGATTATATAAATGATATATGCTGGGTACGGTGGCTCACACCTATAATCCCAACACTTTGGGAGGCCGAGGCGGGCAGATCACCTGAGGTCAGGAGTTTGAGACCAGCCTGGCCAACATGCTGAAACCCCATCTCTACCAAAAGATACAAAAAGTAGCTGGGCATAGTGGTGCACGCCTATAGTCCCAGCTACTCTGGAGGCTGAGGCAGGAGAATTGCTTGAATCCAGGAGGCAGAGGTTGCAGTGAGCCGAGATCACGCCACTGTACTCCAGCCTGAGCAACACAGCGAGACTCTGTTTCAAAAATAAAAATAGAAGATGATGATATAATCATCCAATATCATAAAACTATTAAAAGTTAGGGCAGAAATGTACTTTATATGGAAAGATCTTGAAAACACTGTTAATTGTGAAGGAAGCAAAATACACAAGTTAGTATAGTTCAACAGAGTATTTTATAAGCAAGTATACATACATACACACATTTTATGCGTGGGTACTTACTCAAAAAATATGCCAATAATGAGACCTAGTATCTGGGTGGGAGGGAGATTCATTCTGTACTCTATTTTTTGGCAGCAGTTAAAAATTATTTTAAAGCATGCAAAGACAATAATTTACAAAATAATTAATTTTAAGTCACCATATTCACCTGTAACAGCTTTGTTTTGCTAGAAAGATCACTCTCCCTCTCTTTTAGCATGGCTTCTACCCTCTTCAATTCATTTTCCTTTTCTTTCAACCTAGAATTTTTTACAAATATCTACATTTACTAAAGTACATAAAAAAAGAAAACCAGATTCCAATATCACCCCTAATAAAAAAGATGGCAGAAACAATACAAACCAGCTTTTTTCCCCCATATTATATCAACTTAGAAGTTTGTTTTAAAAGATATTTCTAGGATCATTTACTCAGTCATACTTAACATTTCTTAAGCAAATGTGGCTTTATCTAGGAAGAAACTCTAAAACAAAAACTAAGAACAAAACTATATTTTATCTAATTGTTGCAAAAATTACCACTTAAAAAGCAAGGAATTTTGCCCTAAGAATCTCAGTCATAATTTGTTGACCCTGGAAATTATGAAATATGTATAACCTTTGTACTGAAGAGATGCTATGGATAATTTAATGTTTTTCCCTTACCCAATGCAGATGTAAATCTTTATCTAGCCCAAGTGAATCTCAATTGCCCTGGTCATCCTAAGCAACAGACCTATAGCATAACACCACCATCAAAATGATCTGTTTAACAGTTTCCTCAGGATAGGAAATCTTATCCATTTCAGTATCCCCAATGCCAGAAAGCACATAATAGAGTCTCAAGTATTCGTTGAGCTGAACACTTATTTTTACCGCACCTTGATCTAGAATTTCAAGATGCTTATAAATCTATATGAAAAAATGACAAAACAGCATACATCAAGAGTGAGATAAATATACAAAAAGGGAAAAACTTAAATACATATTGCTAAGTAAAAGAAGCCAATCCAAGGCTGAGCATGGTGGCTCACATCTGTAATCCCAGCATTTTGGGAGGCCAAGGTGGGAGGATCACTCAAGTCCAGGATATCAAGACCAGCCTGGGCAACACAGGGACATCCTGTCTCTAAAAAATTAGCCAGGCATGGTGGCATGGGCCTGTAGTCCCAGCTACTCAAAAGGCTGAGGTGGGAGGATCACTTGAGCCCAGGATGTCCTGGCTGCAGTGAGCCATGATCACACTCCAGCCTGGGCCACAGAGAAAGACTCTGTTCCAAGAAAAGAGAAAAGAAAAGAGCCAATCCAGAAAAGCCATATACTGTATGATTTCAACTATGATATTCTGGGAAAGGTAAAACTCTGAAGACAGTAAGGTCATTGGTTGGGGGGGTGCTGCAGAGGTATGGAGGAAGGGAGGGAGGGATGCACAGGTAAAACACAGGAGATTTTTAAGGCAGTAACACTGTTTTGTATGATACTGTAATGATGGATACATGCCATTATACGTTGGTTAAAACCCACAGAGAGTGATCCTAATGGAAACTATGAACTTCAGTTAATAACAAAGATAACAATATACTGCTACTGGCTCATCAGTTGTAACAAATGTACCACGCTAATGCAAGATGTTAACAGTAGGGAGAATTGGGAAGAGTATATGGAAACTGTATTTCTCTCATTTTTTCCTATAAATATAAAAACTGCTCCACCACAAAAAATAAAATCTATTAATTTAAAAAAGAAAATGGCAAAAAAAAAAATGTAAGGCAGAAATATACCTAAAATTACCTACTTTAATGGTCTACATATCCCTACTATAAATAGGCCAGAAATGCTACCCTAAGCTTTCCAAGCAAATAAGAGATAAGCACCTTGACAGTTACACAATAGCCAAAAGACAAACAATCATTGTACAAACGAGCAATCTTCCAAAAACAGAGTAATCTCCCTTGTTTTTAAAAAGATAATAACCTAATAAATATACTCAATATCTTGACAGTTTAAAAGGGGACACTTCTTTAAAACAAGTATCAATAAAGAGTAATGGTATCACCAAGAAAAATTTGTTAAGAGCAATTTTAAAGGGGGCCAAAAGGATCAGGTCCAGATACCCCTTCTCACCACTGTAACCTGCTGTAGCTTAAGACAACAGACTCTCTAGAATAAAACATTTTCTAAGATTAATATCTACAAAAACTGACGCCTCTTATGCTGACTAGATTCAGTATTTTTCCTATTCAGCACAGGATGACAAGTTCCATTTTCCCTATAAATAAATTAAAATTATAGAAAGGTTTAAAATTCATTATCAAGATTATGGCTAAAATTATCTTCTGGTTAATTCAGAGATGTTACTAACACTTTCAAATACTAATTTTCATTTGAAATAAGTTTAATCTCTATAATAATTGCATACTTTGTTTTAAAAAATAACTTAAAACCAGTCTATATTTGCAGAAAGAATAATTGAAAAAATGAGTTTGATGGATTTGGAAAGGATAAAGAATCCAGGTATCTGAAAGCATTTATAACCTTTATTTTACCCAACAGAGACTTAGCCTATCTGCCTCTGGATTATAATTTCCACTTAACAATAAAGTTAATCATGTACAGGAAACCCATCATTATATTCGAACACACTCTGGAAAATAATGAGACGTTTGCTTCTCTTCAAAATGCTGTCTTAGAGCATACTTACACAATCTCAAGTTCTTCAAACTGTGATGCAGAAGAGACCTGAGAAACAGAATCACATTTTTAATGCTAACATTGAAAAAAAAAAAAGGTGCTATGACACATATATAGAATCACCCACCAATAAAAAAAAAAAAACATAATTACATGCAGTAAATTTAAGATTGGGCCATTTATAAAGCAAGGACAGAATGACTTTTATTAAACAATTTTTAATACTTATTTCTTAAAAGATTAAAGACTAATACTTTAAACAGATAGTTAAGAATGAGCTAAGAGTCTATTTGAAAAGGCAGAGATAAGGAAATGCTTGTAGGCTCAGGTTGACAGATTAAGCAGTTAAGTATGATTCGCCAGAAATAAAAGTTAACTTATTTAAACAACAACAAAACCATGGTACAACATAATTTTTCTGGCAAAGAAACTCAGAACATATTAATATCTTGACTTTCTAATACCTTAAACAAAGATTTCTCATTCCTTATGTAACATGCTGGTAATTTGTTTATACTATACCTCTTTCAAGTTATGTTGTGCTACTTCCTGAACATGTGCTTTTAAAGATTCATTTTCTTCTTGAAGATCCTTAAAAAGAATAGGTGTAAATTAAATTGACAGTAAAGTATAAAAAGGCTATTTTTTATTGTTTTTAACTTCTCACCTGTAACCACTTCCCTGTATTGGCTAGGTCTTTCTCTTTCTCTTCTAAAACAGCCTTCATGGTATTCATCTGTTCCTCTTTTCCTTTTAATCTGATAATAAATTAATCAGAACTCTAAATGAAAATGTTACATGACCATAAAAAGCAAAAATCTTAAGACACTGAAAAAAGTATATTTTAGGTAGTACTCACAGTCCAGCTGATTAAAATAAACTAAAACTTAACAAGTATAAAGGTATACAAGGCTGGGCGCGGTGGCTCACGCCTGTAATCCCAACACCATGGAAGGCCGAAGCGGGCGGACCATGAGGTCAGGAGATCAAGACCATACTGGCTAACACGGTGAAACCCTGTCTCTACCAAAAATACAAAAAATTAGCCAGGCGTGGAGATGCATGCCTCTAGTCCTAGCTACTCAGGAGGCTGAGGCAAGACAATCACTTGAACCCGGGAGGTGAAGCTTGCAGTGAGCCAAGATCGCACCACTGCACTCCAGCCTGGGCAACAGAGCGAGACTCCATCTCAAAAAAAAAAAAAAAAAAAAGGCATATAAGATTTTGGAGACAATCAAATCAGGAAGTACAGGATGATTAAGGAAAATCATTCTATCACTGAATATCCAGATATGAGTAAGTTATTTTAGCTCTACCTCAACCCTGTATCACCCTTGTTTAAGTCTATACAAACAAATTTGGAAAACTTACTACGATTGTTCTGGATGTGAAAGATACCAATTTCACATGGCTATTAAAATAGGCAAAGAGCAACATCTCAATTTGAGGTTATATTCAGATTATAAACCATGAAAAGACTTCCTACCTCCTTCCCACAAAATAACTTACAGGTTAAAGCCAAATAAGAAACTTAGGGCCCTTAGGAGTTTTGAGATAATTAGTATTTTTGTATTTTCTAAAACACCACTTGAAATCAAGAAGCTATAATTTTCATTATACTTCTATTTAACTCATGAAAAAGAAATAGTAAAAGGAAATGAGATAAATGGTACTTACAAGTTCTGAAGCTCCTGAACTTGGGAAGTGATAGATAACTGAAATACAAAGGACAGAAAAATCTATTAATAATCCTTTCAATTTAACTTATTAAGCTTCATAAGTCTTTATAATGTGTACATTTCAAATTACAAAGAAACTAGCTAAATTTTTCATGACAAAATGAGATGTGTTTTGAGTTTACCTCCTCTTGACTCCAGTAACACAAAAATTAATAAACTAAAAATAAGGGGGAGGGACAAGGAAAATAGTCATGAATAATAAGTCTAATTAATGTGATGCTTTTTCTCTTTAGGCTAGTCAAGTGAAGCAGTGGGATGGAGAAGGAATAAAGAAATCTCTAACTGGTTGTGATCAATCAGTTGTAAATACCACTGCACTCAGATCAGCCATACTTCTACAGTTGTGAAAAATTAAAATATTAACTCTCCACACACCTCCCTACCATTATCAGAGATGTTCTCCACCCCAGTTTTCAAGGCCAATTACTCAACAGTACTCTATGATGTCCTTTTTTAATTTTTTCTTAGTCATACACAGTCTGATAATACCTTTTATCCTCCACTCTCTTCTCACAGGCCCTTCAGATTCTTGGCTTAGATGTCAGTTCCTTGGGAGGAGACTTTCCTGAACTCTCAATCTATATTAGAAAAGTATGATCTTTTCATCCTACCTATTTCGCTCTAACACATTATCTCCAATCACTAGCTAGTGATCCACCAATCATGAGCACAGTGCTTTGATGAGAACTGCTTTGACAATAAATACTGCTGAATGAATCTATGAGATGAATGAATCATCTCTTCAATGAAATCTCACCATTTTTTCAAGGAAGCCTTATCAGATTAAAATCAGCAAAATTCATCAATTTCCAGTAATCACATCTACGTCTGAAAGCCCAATGAAACTTGTACTTTGTTCTAAGGCAGAGGTCAAGCAATGTATATTCAAATAACATTTTGGTCCATGCAGTTTTCTTTTAAAAGGGGTGGGGAGGATTTAAAAAATTGCCTAAGTGTTTCATGTTTCATTTTTAATTGGCAAACTAAAATGAAACATTAACACAAAAAATGTTCCAGAAAATAACTATGAACGGTTAAAAATTTTAAGATATATAGATTAAAATATCAAGAACACTTTCTCAAATCAGGCAAAAAATAAAATTAAAAGCACATAACCCAATATACTTACAGCACACTACTAAAAGTGTTTTCTGAGTAACAAGAAAAAAAATCAAATAGCTCGTAAATAACACATAACTAATAAATCTGTCATGCTATGGCTCTGGGATTTTTACCTGTTGAGCCTTTTCAAGCTGGACATTTCCTATTTCTTCTTTTAGAGCCTTTATTTCCTGTTTCAAATCCTTGACAATGACAAAACAGACAAGATTGGACAATGGAAACACAGAAATTGACATAAAATGCAATGCACAGACAAACACATGAAATTAAATGATATTAACTAAAGTTGATAAACAAAAACATAAAACACAGTTCTATGTCTCCCAATACCTGAACAGTTTTCTCCTTGTTAGCAACTTTGAGAAGTTCTGCCTCCAGAAGCTCTTCTACAGACTTGATCTTTCCATCTTTCTCGTGGATCCTTCAATAAAGAAATGCAGTATAATTTGATTAGAAATCACCAGACCCATCAAAGATATAAAAATAGCAGCAAATAATGAAATGGCTCTCCAAATCAACCCTTTCCCATTTTAAATAAAATAGCAACATGTCTTTGTAGAAGGGCCAGGGTAAATATAAAGCTCCTCCTAACAGACAGCTGAAGCCTATGCACACAAGAAGTCAGTTAAGTGCTTCAAAAGTACATCAGAAATATAAGATTTGTACCCTGAGGAACACAGGGGAGAATCAAGTTCCATTCAACTATACTGACTCCCATCCTCTGGAAACAGGTTTTGTTTTGTTTTGTGTTAATTATTATTATAATACTGAATTTGGGAAATCACAGCTAAGTTCTCTTATTCCATTAAGAAAAATTCTAGAGTGAAAGTTAAACATACATCAGCTGTCCCAACTGCACAATAAAACTAGATTTCTGAGCACACACACACAAAAAATGGACCAAAGAAGAAAAACCAGTTTATAATAATGTCATCACTTACACTTTCTTAAGTTCTTCAACTAAAGATGCAAAAGAAACCTGGAAATAGGAAAGTATCCTACTTAGTAATTTATTCAAAATAGAAATGGGTCAGAAATAGAAATGCACATTATCCTTAGATTTTCCACTACAATCAAAATCCAAATAGGAAAAGCCCAGGCATTCTTTCGAGACTTTTTTAATGTCATAATGATGACAATAAATAGCATTTTGAAAAGAGGTAGCTTTAAGGCCACTTATAAATATGTCAAAAGAAAAAAATCATTAGATAAATGTTAAAATTATTTAATCAATAATTCCAACCATAGAGAAAAATGCAACTAAGAAACTGCCTAATTTCAGGCAGCCTCTTTTACTAGAGTCTTACTTTGTATTTGTATACTTAGAACTTTTTATCACTCTAGTAAGAGGCAATGGCACCCCATCTGGGGTATTCGTCATAGTACCTGGCATACAATCAGTATTATATAAATTGCAGCCTCTATTACTGATTATCATTCATAAATTAAAACTATAATTGACAAATTCCAACCTGGAGGAAGAGAAACAACAGACTTGTTTCTATGCAACAGTTTGCCCCCTGTTTAAAAGAGAATGGGCTGGGCACAGTGCCTCATGCCTATAATCCCAACACTTTAGGAGGCTAATGTGGGAGGACCGCTTGAGGCCAGGAATTTGTGACCAGTCTGGACAACATGTCCAGACCCCATCTCTACAAAAAATAAAATAAAAGTTAGCTGAGCGTGGCTCAAGCCTGTAATCCCAGCACTTTGGGAGGCCGAGACGGGCGGATCACAAGGTCAGGAGATCGAGACCATCCTGGCTAACACGGTGAAACCCTGTCTCTACTAAAAACACACAAAATTAGCCGGGCGAGGTGGCGGCGCCTGTGGTCCCAGCTACTCGGGAGGCTGAGGCAGGAGAATGGCGGGAACCCGGGAGGCGGAGCTTGCAGTGAGCTGAGATCTGGCCACTGCACTCCAGCCTGGGCGACAGAGCGAGACTCTTTCTCAAAAAAAAAAAAAAAAAAAAGTTAGCTGAGCATTGTGGCATGAGCCTATAGTCCTAGCTACTTTGAAGACTGAGCAAGGAGTTATCACTTGAGCCCAGGAGTTCGAAGTTATGGTGTATGATTGTACCACTGCACTCCAGCCTGGGCAAAAAAGCAAGACCCCGTTTCTTTTAATTTAAATAAACAAACAAACAAACAAACAAAAAACACAAAGAACAGTTGTAAAAATGTACTACATTACCTGATCATTTTGCTTAGCTTTTAAGTCTTGAACTTCTTTTGTCAGAGATGAATTTTCTGTTCTTATTGCCTTTTTCAAAGACACATAAGCTGTAAAACATGCTTTTATTTTCTGAAAAATATAGCTAGCTTCAAAATACATTAGCTTCTCATTTCTTTAGCTGCTTCTTTTCCACTCTGGAAGGCCCAAAACTCTCACTTTTTTCCATGTCTATAATTCTGTAACTTCAATAGCTACCCAAATGAATTTTTAATTCAATTACACCCACATATATTTCTACTTATATCTGAACAACCTCAAAAATACATAGTATACCACTTGTTAGTTAAGTTACTCCTCTCCCTAAATTCAAATACATCTTTTAACTTACTTCTTCCAGCAACCTTTTCCCAATCAAGTTAGTTAAAGCTAATGACAACCATAAAATAGAATGGCAATCTCTTCTCTGGCCTCCAATACCATTTCATGAATTAAGTCTGCTAGTTATCATTTGGTTATAATTTGGACAAGGGTGCAAGTGGGGAAACTGACAAACTATAACAATAGTATCTACCTCATTAAGGCAGTCAATGTTACAATTATGCATTAACTTCTAAAAAAAATCTTTAATAAAAAAGCATTATATAAATCTATAAAATGTGAGAGGTACTATTAAGTTTAAGATCTATGGGGAAAACCTTACACAAATTACAGTGAAATCCTTTTATGTCACTGAATAAACACAAGGAAAACAAAACTACAAAATGCTTTACATTCAGCTCCTCTTCTTTAGTTGCCACCTGAATAAGTCCAGTTTCAAGTAATTCTTCTACAGTCTTTAACTTCTCATCTTTTTCTTGAATGCTGAAATTATAAGTTTATAACACATGTATTAACTATTTTTCAAGGTTAATGATATTATTTCTTCTCTTTTTTTGAGACAGAGTTTCGCTCTTGCTGCCAAGGCTGGAGTACAATGGCGCGATTTTGGCTCACTGCAACCTCTGCCTCCCAGGTTCAAGCGATTCTCCTGCCTCAGCCTCCCAAGTAGCTGGGATTACAGGCATGCGCCACCATGCCTGGCTAATTTTGTATATTTGGTAAAGACAGGGTTTACCATGTTGGCCAGGTTGGTTTCGAACCCCTGACTTCAGGTGATCCACCCGCCTCAGCCTCCCAAAGTGCTGGGATTACAAGTGTGAGCCACTGCGCCCGGCCAGTTAATGGTATTATTTCTAATCATTTTAAGTGGATCAACCTTTGTCCATCATTTCTTATAAACTTAATTCTAGAAAAGTTTCTAGGTTTCTAGTGATGGTTTATCATGGTCTCAGGATACTTCCTCTTTACAAGTAAAATGTACTCAAGTAATTCATGCTTACATGCTAGCCTCAACAAGTAAAATTACTGCCACACATGAAACCCACAAACGGTAATGTAATCCCAAATCAACAGTATACCACATTTTCTTCCATTACAAAGTTTAAAGAGAATTTTTAAAATGTGATTAATGTAGTTAATTTGGTAGAAGTAACTCATCAAAATATAAACAGAAAACTAAACTCTTACCATTTTTCCATTTGTTCCACAACATCTTTATTAGGCTAAAATAAAAATCACCAAAAAGTTTAACTTTACCAAATTTGCATAAAGAAAAACCAGATGAGAAATTAATTTTGTGAAAACTGTTTAGGGTTATTAAATAGATACAAAATTTAGGACAATAACTTATCTGAAGACTTGATAATTAAAGAATTCAGAAAACAAAACAAAGAGATACATCTACACAAGAGACACAGAAAAAGCAGCAGTATAAAATGGGCTGGCAAAATGAATTAGTATCTTATGAAGAAAATCTTAATCACTAGAAAAGATAATCTTAAGACAACTTGCCTCACTTCCTTTACATTAATTCAATTCTTCAAAGAATACAGACTCTAAGACCTTGCAAATCCAAAAAAAAAAAGAAAGAAAAGAGAAAGAGAAAAGAAAGAAAAAAGAAAAACAAAGAAAGAAAAAGAAAAGGAAAAGAAAAAGAATGGAAAAGAAAGAAAAAAAGAAAAAGAGAAAGGCAGGCAAACGGGCTCTTTTAATTGATTTGATTTTTTTTTTTCTATACTAAGGTGTAACATTTACATAGACAAGTGCACAAATCCTGTTTACAGCTCAGTGAATTTTGTTAGATAGATATTATATAACTACCAACCAGATCAAGATATAAAATGTTTTAAAACTGATTGTAAACTGCAAAAGCAACAGGAATACATTCTTCATAAAGCATTAGAACATGACACGTAAGGTGAGTCCCCTTTGAAACTTCTCCTGGCATCCCCCGGTACACACAGAAGTCCCCAGTGTTAAAATTTATCTTATATCCAAAGCAGGATTTCTCCCTCAGTATTCCCGTATCTTCAGACAGCCAAGCAGCCTGACCAAAAAGATTTACGGTCTTTCTCCTAGAACATTCTCTTCTGTGCGCCCCTTTCCCAATCTTGCTAGTTTCTTTTTTTCCCAATCTTTTTTTTGTTTTTCCCAATCTTATTACAATCATTTTTCACAAATAGTATTAATTTTTCCATTGCCCTATCCAAGTCCTAAAATTCCACTCTGTACATACTTATGAAATTAAACCCTTCTCTTTAATGCCTAAGTTTAGGCCCTCAGCTTACTCATCTCAAATATCATAATACCCTAATTCTTCTCCCTGCTTCTAGTTCGTAAGAATTGTTTTGTAGAAGGCACAGGAAAAAAGTTCCCAATGGGAAAAAATAATCCAAATATCAGAAGGGAAATAGGAATTGTCAAAAGTACATTAAATCAGGTTTATACTATGAAAAACAAATCATACATTAAGCCTTTAAATTATTCATGAAGATAGTTTTTGTCCATATTTATTTTCAATGAACACCACCTCAGAAAAAGACATAACACTATTAAGTCTAAGTTAACTGCACCTTAACCATTTACTGTATTGTACCTTTAGTCAGTCCTACCTACCAGAGTCTTCTTTCTAAAATGTTAGGCTAAATGCTCATTTAACCTTCCAACACCCTTTAGTGGCTTACCCACATGCTACATCAGGTTCATGGTCCTCACACAGCATACAAAGCCCTTCATAATTAGGTCTTAGTAAATCTTTCTCTACTCCTTACATCCTTCCTGTATTTTGTACTTCTGCAATACACCAACACTCTGAATATGCCAATCTGGCCACACTGTCATGTCTTTGAACATTGTATTCCCTCAGCCTGGATTGTCTCTTAGCTCTTTGGCAAATTCATGCTCATTTTTCAAAATCAGGTTTAGCTGTTCCCTGCGTTACCTCCCTACCTCCTTCAAATATTAATAGAATGCATTATCTCTTCCTCTAAACCTGTACACAGAGTTCCAAAATTTCATTCACCATAATTTTCTGTTTAACACATCTATCTCCATATTAGGAAGGCAGAAATCAAGTCTCATTCATCTCTGTAGGCTCAGCATGTAGATAAGTACCTAGTATATACCCAACTAGTAAATAAGTATTTGATGAATTGAATTTTTTTTAATGAAGTTACAGTTTAGAAATTCTTGGTCTTCAGCTCATCAAATACTCTACTGCATAAAACTGACCCAGCTTAGTTTGCATCTCCTCCAACATTTTTACTTCACTTCATACTTTATTGGTTTAATCCAATCCTACTGTTTCCACCCTAGATGATTTCCAAAACTACATCATATACAATAAATTCTTCTGCAATACAATTTAACAAGGCAGCAGAGCAAAAAGAAGAAACTTCCTACAGTTTTTACTTAATAATCTCGACCACTGAATCTTAAAAATCTACTGGAGTAAGAATAAATAAGTCATGTTGCTCTTTCACTAAAGGTCAGGATGTGCTCTCGTCCAGCAAAAAAAAAAAAAAAAAAAGTAAAAAAAGTCTTATTCTGAGTTAATGAAATATTAGTAAATGATTTATTTGCATTATCTGACCATCTGCAAGCCTAAATCCAAATGCAGCCTTCTCTCCTTTAGGGTATCAACAGGTTACCCTACTTGGTACCTGCTGTCTTTCTGCTTCCTACACCTGAAGAAACAACAATTTGGCACCATTATTGGTTTCTGCTTTCATAAGCTCAATCTTTTCCTCCAGAATAAAAATCCATGGGGTACAAGGACTGAAATTTTTACATAACTAAACTGTTCAATCTCTCAACTGTCACTTGGAATTCTGACTGAGGGATAGAAAGGGGTTAAAGAAAAGTGGAAACGACAGAAATTAAGATTATATCTATCTTTTCTCTTCTTTCACTAGCAACAATGAAAACGACTAGAGGAAAAGCCACAAAGATGATTCTTTGCCAAAATGAAAGAAGTCACAACTATAACCAAAACCTCAGTCATATGCTTTCTAGACTATTAATAAAAAGCTTTCAGAATCAGAACAACTCTTAAGAATTACCCGGTAGCAGATCTTAAACTGGTGTCACAAAATAAGTTTCCCCCTTATCAACTAATTCTTTTAAATAAATCAAAAAATGTGGCTATAAAATTTTATCCTGTGAATTGTTAATTATTCTTCCTATCAAAAGCACATCTCATACTAAAAGTTGTCACTTTAACAGAACATCTAAAAGTACGCAGAAATCTTATAATAAAAGGCTGACTTAATAAGATAGCAATAATATTAACTTTCATGAATGATTGGGAATTTTACATAAGGTTATTACAATGGCATTTCTCAAGGTATTGTATGACTTTAAAGGAAAAGAAAAATTTAAGGCTGGTGGTTTTACTTTTATCTAATGATGGAAAATACCATTTTTAGTAAAGAACAAAAGTTTTCTGTTTAAATAAGAGTCGCCAACACCTGGATACTACTAGAATACAAGAATTCTAGGACAGATTCAGAAGTTTCTAAGCATCTGTTTTACCTCCATGAAGTTAATTTTAGAAAGGTTAAAACTTCATACACTGATAACAGCATTTCAAAAATCTCTGGTAACTAACACACAGAAACTATATACTCTGCTGTTCCAAGTAAGAACACACACACAAAAATCTATTCCATCTAATCCAAGTCACCAATGTTATATCTCACCACTGCTATTTAACAGTAAAAATTTAAAATGCTGCCAATTAAACAACTAAACTGTAACCAGAGACTACAAGATACATTAATATTTCAGAAATGGGGGGGGGGGGGAGAAACCTTATAATTGATATCATATCTTTTGTAAGCTATACCAGAAAAGGAAATAAGACAAGAATAAGCCTTAGCTGGGCACAGTGGTTCACATCTGTAATCCCAGCACTTTGGGAGGCCAAGGCAGGCAGATCACTTAAGGCCAGGAGTTCAAGACCAGCCTGGTTAATATTGCGAAACCCCGTCTCTGCTAAAAATACAAAAATTAGCCGAGCATGGTGGCACGTGCCTGTAGTCCCAGCTACTCAGGAGACTGAGGGATAAGAATGGCTTGAACCTGGGAGGCGGAGGATACAGTGGGCCAAGATGGTGCTACTGAACTCCAGCCTTGGCAACAGAGGAAGACTGTCTCAAGAAAAAAAAAAAGAATAAGCCTTAAATGCCATTTAAACTAAATATCATCCCTTCAGCATTTTCTCCTCTATTACTTTTAGTTTACAAGGGTAAAGCAAATACAAAGTACATAGTAAGACTATGTAATAATGCACTTAATATCATATGCGGAGGTAAAATAGATTATTTCTTGACAAGTTAATACTTAACAGAGGCACACTTACACCAGCTTAATATCTGCATAAACGTAAATTTTAAAATAAATGAAAGAATGCAAGGATTCGCTAAAAGAAGTGCTATCATTTGCAACAGCTTTACATTTCAGCTTCCAATAAAAGTACAATTCAAAAACTTAGTATTAGGAACAAATGCAAACCTTCTAATGTGTCACCAAGGGTTCGTGTTTTATTAATAAACTGTAATTGTAAGAGCTGCGTAGGAGAAGAGTATGAAGGCACCACTTAGGAATAGGCAGAGAACAGATACCACTGGGCTCTAATTTATGGAACCATGCTTATTCAAAGCTGCTATAGTTTTGATGCCTTGCTATAAATATGAAATGAATAGTGATGGTGGCAGCGGATGGAGATGAGATGGATAAAATAAATACTCTAAGAGAAAAGAATTAAGGTTTAGATACCTGCCATAAACAAAGCACTAGACTAAGCATGATACATAAGCTTCTCCTTTCAAATCTAACAACCTCATAGTGTAAATATAATCTCCACGTGAAAGGCTTGGAATGAGAGGTGTCACAAAGGTTAAGCTATTTGATCAACATCACACTGCTTTTAAGTGCTAATAATAAGTTTCAACCTTTAAAGATACCATGCACCCTAAAAGAAAAAGCTGAGGTTCCAAGTCTAAGGCAGGACATTTATTCTGAGAGTCAAATGTATCAAAATGGCTTAAATTCTTTTTATGCATATCCTATTACACTTTTTTGTTTTTCTGGAATGTGCTTTTGAACAGACTGGCATAAGCTTCATCTCAGGAAGAAAAAATGTCCTTAATTTAGATACGGGATGAATAGAAAGGCAATAACAGACATATCCAAGCTTAAGCAAAATTTCTCAATTAGTCTTTTGGTACCTAAATAAGAAGAACCAGATCTTGTTATATATTAAGTGTTTCTACTTTGTAATTTAGGAAAAACCTTACCTGTTCAGAAACAAGAGTCTGTAGCTTCTGAACTTCTAATTTTAATGCTTTGTTTTGGTCATTTAGAATCTGGAAGAAAGAATCTCAATTTACTGTTTTATTAAGAAAAAAGGTAATAAAGCAATCATTTGAATGGGTTTTTGAACAATCAAACCTTTATCTCAGCTTTCAGTACTCAAAGTGATAGGTCAATTATACACTGACATAATTCAAATTTCACTGGACACAGAGATGCACCCTAGCACTTGGTTGGCCATGACCAGAAACCAGAACTACAGCAATAGTGGAGACAAGTAAGACAGTCCCAAATAGAAACTATCAGCTGAGAAAAGGCTGGGGGGGAGCAAAATAAATCTCTAAGCTCTACTAAAAGAACAGATAATCTAGAGGAAAAATGATAAAATTCATGGTTTGCATAAGTCCCCTAATGAACTACAGAAACACTGTTTCAGAGTGACTTCACATAAAATGTAGTATTTCTGGAATCACTCAACTGAAAAGTATGCAAGGTTGTTCTAAGAAACCTGAGTTTACAAGCTTAATCACACACCTTAAATTCTTCCATTTTGTTTGAAATTTCATGTTGTAGTTGTTCTTCCAGCAATCTTATTTTATCATCTTTAACATAAACACTATAAGGGTGAAAAAAGGTAAATTAAAATACCTCATACATTCAGAAAATCTACAGGAATTATGGGCACAACTATCAATTATAAGTAGCAACATTTTCTGCAACAATTATACCTAAACATAAATGTATGAATGACTAGATGTACAATACTTTAGTCACCTTTGTTGCATCTTCTCCAATTCATGTGCAGCAGCAGCCTGTGTGTGGAATGAGAAGAAAATGGTATCACTTCTCAGGAAGTGCTCAAAACTATTTTTTCACTAATTTTTACATATTAAAAAGTTATAGTTCCATATATTTGAAGTTACAGCAATACCATACATTTCTGTAACATGTTTTGCTGTTTGATATTTTTTACTTCTCACTTTTATCCTAGTAAAAGGTATATCTTTTTTGAATTAAATGGCTCAAATAAAAGACTCAAATCAGCATAGTAAGATCATTTTAACTGCCTCTTGAAGTGATCAATTCATTGGATCAAACATTTATTTCAACATAAAAATAGTAACATCAAATCATGCAGCCAAAGATAAGAAACCATCATATTTTTTACTTATACAATCAAATTGGGGCTCACAATACCAGTGAAAATAAAAATACGCAAACTGAAATTCTGAGGTCAACGCTCTAAAGCAATAAAGATCTACCTGCTCATTTGCCAGGGCCTGTAATTTCTGCACTTCAGCTTTTAATAAGAAATTCATATTCTGTATATCCTAGAACAAGGAAAAATAGCATTTAAAATATTTAATACAATTGATTTTAAAGTTTGTAAAGCATCTTTTCTACAGAAGAGTTAAGCAAATGTCTCAACTTACAAAATTTCCTAAAGAGAAATCACCAATTTCTGTTATTTAGCATAGTCCTATCAAACTATTGTAAATTATTGTAAATTATATCACAAGAGAAGCCCTTTTAATTTTTCCTCATAGAGAGCTAGAGGATTTTGTAGTTTAGAAAAATAGTTATTTCAAATGAACTCTAGACTATTTTCCATTCTTCATATACACTTACTGATTATGTGGATAAAAGTCATTTAAATTTCAGTCCTGTAAAATATTGCAGCCATTTATACAAATTACTATACCTTAAGTTCCTCTTCTTTACTTGTTAAATGATCACGTTCATTTGCTAAAGAATCTTCAGTCTGTTTTATCTGCTTATCCTTTTCTGCAATCCTTTAGAAGGAAAGACATTTGTACATTCAATAAACATTCAGAAGTCACAAATCAAAAGGATTTAAAGCCTTAAAAAGCATCATCCTTACTTCAGTAGTTCTCATATACCTTCCATTTCTATAGCCCCTTTCAGTTTACTAACAACTGTCATACACATTACTATAACTCCTTAAAATACATAACCCTATTTTAAAACTCGAAATAAAAGAGGTTAATTTGTTAAAGCTAGCAATGTCAAAACCAGATTTCAGATCTTCCGAACTCAAGTGATCAATGTCCATGCAAAATTACACGGCACAAAAAAAGCACATAACTTTGTTTTGGGTATACAACCACAGAGTCGGACACAGAAGAACTACAACTACTTATTAGACACAAAAACTAATTTACTTCCACTACTTTCTGAACAATTACCTCTTCCACATAATTGCTAACACCCAAATGAAAGTCTCCCCAACTCTTTTTAAAATAAAAACATAAATAAAAGCAGAATATATAATGTTTAGGGACCCAAATCACTAATGGGAAAAAGGAAAAAAAAAAAAAAAAGCAAAAGTTGCTCAAATCTAGTTCAGAGTATTTTCTGAACAGGTCACAGGTATAAAGTTAATCTTAAGTGTCGCATCTAACAAGTATCAGCTAGTGGTGACTACACAATTATAAGAGTGTGAAAAGATAGGCTTACACTTTATGTAATTCTTCTGCTAAAACTGAAGCGGAGGTCTAAGAAAGAAAAATAGTGTCAACATAAAAGTATTTAAGAGAAAGCTTTAAAGCTATACAATAATCATAACAGAGCTTTAAATTCTAAGAGAAGTTAACGTATATAAATTGTTAAGAAAGTATCTGGCCCATGGTGAGTGTTCAATAAAGAGTAACTACTATTCTGAAAGCAAGTCTGATCACCAACAGCCAGTAGTCAGGAATTACATATCACAAGCCATTTAGAATAAAACAAGTTGACAGGTCTGGAAACTAAATAATTGACAAGCAACAAATGAATAGGAAAAACAGCCAGAAAGGCCATTTGTCATCCTGTGTTTCTTCTCCTTATTAACAACTTTTAATAATAAAATTATCCATTCCATGACTAATATAGTTTGGAAATACCCATGTTCATGTTTACTATTTAAAAGATTCTTACAAGCACTCTCTACGTATTTAACTCCTGATAAATTTTTTAGAGCTACTTCTCAGCTGATAACCCAAGATCACAATTCAATTTGAGTTTGTAATCCACATATACATACACATGCATACCAAAACCCTTTCCTGCATTAATTCTTCCCCAATTATTTTAGACTACAATTTCTACAGACAAAGCAATTGGGAAAAATATGTTTATAGGGTCAAAGCTTTGGGAGTTTGAACTTCTCTGAACCTTAAAAACAAAATTTTAATGTAAAAACCACTTTTTATACAGAAATGTCAGACTTCTAAGCCAATACTTTTTGCTACAAATAACTCTCAGAATTTTCAAGTTGAAAAATTGAAGCTCAAAATTCGCAATACTTAACTTGCTTTTTACTTGATTTTCTTTATATTATTTATAAAGACGTGTATGTCACGTCAAAGAATAACAGGTCTTACACTATCACTTAAAAACTTTGGAAGGTTGAGTCACTAAACTGAGGTACAAATTTTCAATTGATTCTTTTGCAAATATAATCTGTGATCTATGGTTACCATATTGTTTCCCCTGCTGATATATTAGGATTTTCCAGAGCTAGTTGATATTTAATGAATATCTGTAATACATAAGCCACTATTCTAGACAGCATTCGGCCAATTCTCTCTCCTTGTTTTGTGACAGGATTGGGGATATTTTTGTATAATAAAAGCTCTCTAACCTTTCCCTCATCCGATTAGTTGGTATGGATTTCTTTCTGAGTGTTTTCCCTCAGCACCGTACATAATTAGCAAGTGTTTAGCACTCAGGATCATCATTTGTTGATTCAATGACTAGTCTCCCAGCTATTAATCCAGTAATTGGCACTCAACGGGCATTCAGATGAGTGTTTAAATGGCTGAATCATAAGCAATAAGAAAGCGTCATTACCTGGGCTGCTATCTGGGAATGGAACTGCTGAATCTGAGCTTTCAAAGCCTCATTCTGCTCCAAAATATCCTTTCATAAATAGCAATCAAAAAGAAAAAAAGCATGCTAATAAATAACCCCATGTATATGAACACAATGTATTATAGGTACATCTGTTTATCTTTATCTTTTTTTCTTTTTTAAGGCATTCTTAGATTCCAAAAGGCATTATTTTAAACAACGATTATACATTCTGAGTTAGCTTATAAGACAGAAGTTAAAGATATGTCTGTGCTATTCCTAATCTAATACAAAGAGCCTAAGACTGTCGATGAGCACATCTTCAAACATACCATATTGTGACAAGTGCTCAAAGACAAAGTTATTATTATTCATCATCATTTCAGAATTAGGATAAGGTAGACATTACTCTCTCTTCTAGACACACAGATCTAATACCTGACCACCTGTATTTTTTTTTAATAAAAAAGAAGAAAAAATACCTGAACCTGCATTTGCAGAGACTCTTCTTTGTTCACCCTTTTCTGCTCTGATTCCATTAACTGCATTAGTCTTTGCTCCAACTGTTGTTTTGATACCAAGGTATCTGTAAGCTTACTATGCAGACTCTGTACTTCATTTTCTTTGGCCACAAATTTACTCTGTAAATCTGTAATAAAACATTACATTTTACAGAGGTCTCTTTCTTTGCCTAGTTTCTCATACTCATCTTTAGTGTAGGCATTCTCTTCTCTAGAAAACCTCCTTTGAATCTCTCCTGCTTCCACTCCTGCATGCTCCTGTAGCAGCCTATACTTGTTTTTCATGGCAGAAAGGCAGTAGTAGAGAAATAAACAACACACATAACACGTACTCCATTATCTCCCAGATGGATTCATCAAATTAAGAGTAAATGAGTAAAAGTTAGCATGTATTAAATGGGCAGTTTTAAGTAAATTACTTGGGATGGTAATGCTCTGTTTTTCTCTTCAAAATAAGAACTATTTTCTTGGGAACAAAAAATAAAATGAAGAATTAACCAAAGAACCAAAGAGAATAACTACAGAAAAGAAACACACAGCCAGGACCCCATTACCCTATCATGTACTACAATTTTGCCTGCAACTTTAATGCTTCAGGCAAAACGAGTAGGTAACTTATTTTAAAACCCTAACAAATGTCAAAGAAAGAAAGATATTCTGAAAGTATAAAAGCTATTTTTACTAAGCTATAACCAAAATACCAAATTATACTTTCTTCACAGATGGAAGAGAAAGGAAATTTTACCCAAAATTATATACAAAGTTTACATGAATACCTCCTCCCCTTACCTTGCTGTGCTGCCTCATGTTCCGCTGTTCTCTTCCTGATGTAGCTCTGAACTTCTTCCCACCTTCTTTCAGCTTCTTGTAGTTGAACCTTGGTATTTTAAAAGGGAGAAAGGATAAATTAGCACAAACACAGAATTTCTACTTTGAAAAAGAGGGAAAAAAAGCATTCTCTACCTTTACTGTTGTATCATAAAACTGCTTATTACAACTAGTCTCCTACATTTCAATAAGACAGGCAGATAAACACAGTCTAAAAGCTATTTATTTATCAGTCATAACCATCCTATCCTCCAACATTACAGGGTTTACAGTTTAGAGATTATTTCAGAGACTCAATATTTGTGCTGAGTTTAGATCAAGATAGCTACTACTATATACATATCTGATCCACTTAGCAATAACCTGTTTCCCACTAACCCTCCTTCAGCTAATAAGCTTCCGAAGGACAGGATAGTATCTTTATTGCTAAATCTAAGTAGCTAAAAATTCTTATTTTGAGGTATTTCTATAACACAACACTCCAATCATGACTATAATCTTTAATGTCATTTATTTATCCATATCCACAGAAAACAGACTTCCATGTCTATGCCAGTAGTAAACCCATCAGCAAGATCAGTATTAAATAAAAGAAAGGATACTTATATTAATCTCCCAACAAGACCCAAGAAAACTTAAGAAAAACAAAGGTTACTCACACTATTTTCCATATTCAATTACCCTTGAAGCCTTTTTAACTCTTACTCTGGAACTGGTATCAAAGTACAACTGTATCAATGACCTAGGTAGGAATCTATTATAATGAGGTAGCATTTAACTTACACAAATTGAACTATACTTTCAACAAATCTCCTCTTCAATAAAAGGAGAAATAGAGAATTATACTCATCATTCTATTCAATGTACATATGCTCCAGAATGCATATAAAATGAGATAAATGAATCTGCTCCTCCCTCAGTCAGCCTGAGCAAAGCCATGCATCTCTTCACAGTATAAGTATCTCATTGGACCAAGTGACACACTGGTGTCTAAAAACATAATATGTGATTTTTTTGTACATCATGGGTCGAGTGTAAGCCACTGGAACACCACTTAGTCTTGTGCTTAAACAAAGGAAAAACTACCTATTCCAGTGCTGAAAGAAAACTAGGTTCTACTGGACCTACTGAAAAATCCAAGCTATGGGTGATAAAGTGGTATTAAGGGTAATTTTTAACTACATGATTTCTGCCCTATATATGTAGACCCTAACCCCCATATATAAGACAAACTTCTACAGTTTATACCTGTCAATCAGCTAACATCATTTATCATATCTTCAAACAGTCTTTAACTTCAAATTCAAGGCTATATTCAATTCTTTCAACAGGGCACATGCTTCTTTTTCTTTCATCAGGGCATAGCATTTAGACTACAGGTCCCACTAAGCGTCAAACTATATTTTTCAAATCTATATACACATTTAAGTCATCAAATTAAATACCTACTGATATGGTTAGGCTTTGTGTCCCCACCCAAATCTCATCTTGAATTGTAATCCCCATAATCTCTATGTGTCAAGGGAGAGACCACGTGGAGGTAATTGAATCAAAGGCATGGTTACCCCCATGCTGTTCTTGTGATAATGAGTGAGTTCTCACAAGATCTGATAGTTTTATAAGGGGCTCTTCCCCATCGCTCGGCATTTCTCCTTCCTGCTGCTTCGTGAAGAAGATGCTTTGCTTCCTCTTCACCTTCTGCCATGATTGTGAGTTTCCTGAGGCTTCCCCAGCTATGTTGAACTGTGAGTCAATTAAACCTCTTTCCTTAAAAATTTACCCAGTCTCAGGCAGTTCTTCATACCACTATGAAAACGAACGAATACACCTATATTATTCATGAAATGACAAAGGTGGGAATATATCACCTTCAACTGAGTAACTGCTTGCTCAGCATTCTTCTTTTGGACTTCCTCTTGCTGTAGCTTTCCTGTTTTCTCAGTCAGCTCATTCACCAACCTAGCATAATCCTGGCGTAGTTTATTTAGTTCTGCAGACTGCCTGAAAACAGTAACTGGATTAGGAGCCTTCCATTATTACAAATAGATATAAGAAATAAACAAAACATACTTTGGTAGGTTCGCTGAGCTGAGCTAGTAGTTCTATTTACAGCCCAACTGAAACAGAACACAAGTGATTACTAACAATAAAGTTTAGGTGGGTAATTCCTATATAATTCTAATGAGTTATACAAATTCTAAAATCACTGTAAAATATCAAGAAAAATAGATGACCATAAATAGTGTCACCTTCAAACTGGTCTTCTGAAAATGTATTAAAAAATCAACCAGTCAGGGTACTGTGTACTCATATTACTAATCTCTCCAAGGTACTATTTCTCAAAGTATGGCCTCGGAGTCAATCACTATCACAAGGAAAGTGTCTTTTTTTTTGAGACAGAGTGTGGTTCTGTTGCCCAGGCTGGAGTGCAGTGGCGCAATCTGGGCTCACTGCAACCTCCGCCTCCCAGGCTCAAGTAATTCTCCTAAGTGTCCCGAGTAGCTGAGATTACAGGTATGCGCCACCACGCCCAGCTAATTTTTGTATTTTTAGTAGAGACAGGGTTTCACCATGTTGGCCAGGCTGGTCTTGAACTCCTGACTTCAGGTGATCTGCCCACCTCGGCCTCCCAAAGTGCTAGGATTAAAGGCATGAGCCATCACATTCAGCCCGAAAGTGTCTTAATATGTAGATTGCTGGGCTCTACCTCAGAGTCAGTGAATCATAATCTTTTAAGGGTAGGACTCAGGAATACACTTTTTAACTAGAATGCCAGGTGCTCTTCAGAATACTGAAGTTTAGGAGCTACTGTGAAGGGCGACAGATGGATTAAAACTTATAAATTTCATAGACCATTCCATTGGTGGTACTAGTATTTATTACATAGATTATATATAATATACACATACATGTTTATATAAATATGTAATATATGATATATATTAATGTGTTTGTATAAGTATATAATAGTATGACATTAATATAACATATATAGTTTACATATATGTAACTGAAGAAGTTCTTCACAAAGCAAAAGAGAATTGTTTTTAAAAGTAACTCATTTTAAGCCAGGTGTGGTGGTTCACGCCTGTAATCCCAGCACTTTGGGAGGCTAAGACAGGCAGATCACCTGAGGTTGAGAGTTCAAGACCACCCTGACCAGCACGGAGAAACCCCGTCTCTACTAAAAATACAAAAAAAATCAGCCGGGTGTGGTGGCACATGCCTGTAATCCCAGCTGCTCGGGAGGCTGAGGCAGGAGAATTGCTTGAACCCAGGAGGTGGAGGTTGCAGAGATCGCGCCATTGTACTCCAGCCTGGGCATCAAGAGCGAAATTCCGTCTCAAAAAAAAAAAAAGTAACTCATTTTAGAAACAAATGTAAAAAAAAAGTCTAAGCAATTACTATCAAACACTATTAATATTTTGATGATTCAAGAAAATACTCTGCCATTCAATTAAAAATAAGGTATTTGGAAACATACTTGCTTTCCAGTTGATTTGTAGTGTTGCTGACAGCATCTCTCAGAATGCCATTTTCCTGCTTCAAGTGAGCTATCTCTGCCTCCATCTGCTCACGAACTTGCTGAAACTAAAATTTTACATATATAAAACTTAGAAAACAAAGACTGTCAAAGCTAACTTTCAAAATAAACTTTATTAAAATGAGAATGTAAAAAGCATCAATAGAATGAAGTTTGAATCCTTCTTCTCAAATAAACATGAACAAATTTAAAAGAAATATACTGTTAGTGATGACTGCAAATTAAATACAAACTCTCACCACATTCAAGAATACAAGTAGATACTAGCTGCTATCATAGTTGACATACAAGATAAACATGCTTAGAGATGATGTTTCAGAACTAAGTATGATTTAGGACTTCTTTCCTATCAAATAGATTCATATAGAATTAAGCTTGTCCTGATCCTATGTCAATTGTATGTTAGCAATATTCTTAAAGTCTTTAGTAAGCCAAAGTTTAAAAACTGAAAATATGTTTGGTATACTTCATATTAAGTTACAAATTGAGCCATAATCATATAGATAACACAAAAACCTGCTTGCTAAAATATTCTGACCTCTAATTGTTTTTCCAAGTTTTTACATTATAAAATACATATAACATAAAACATACCATTCTAACCATTTTCAAGTATACAGTTCACTGGTATTAAATATATCCATAATGCTGTGTAATCATGACCACCATTCATCTCCATAACTCTCTTCATTGTGTAAAACAAAACTCTGCACCTTTTAACAAATAACTCCCATTTCTTTCCCTGAAACCCCTGGCGACCACCACTCTTAACTTTCTTCTTCTAATTTTAAAATTTTGGATTAAAGAATCTAAAGACAAAGCACACTGACTCTTACATTCTCATAAGAACATGTTTTTATATGAAATAATCTTATTAATAATTCTTTCAAAAGAAATTGTTGCTTATTAAGAGAAATTAAGGTATATGTTTCTATTTTTCACAGAAGTTATCATATGGAATCTGTATCCTGACCTCTGTAAGTAATCAAGTAAAACAGGATGAATCACTTAAATACCTTTCACCTTCAACAAAAGATGCTGCTACAAGTATCTGACTAATTTTCAAATTAACAGGAATTAGGAACTAAGAAGAAAAGATCACTTGAGGCTAGGAAAATTAGTTCTTCAATAACTCAAATTGCTGGGGGATGAGAAGATGAAGGAATGGGTTAAACAAACGCTAAAAGCAGTGGATAAGGCAAAAACACAAAAACAGCATCATTCACTTCTTTTTTGCTATTAGTGGCATTTCAGAGGAAAATAGTGGACTCTGAAAGCAGCGAAGAATATTTTTAAATTTTTAGCAGACTAGCGATATTATCAAAGCAATATTTTACAAAAAAAAAAAATTTGGTACCAAACGCAAGACAGAATGAAAGTGACAAACCTATTAATATGAGCTGTAATTATTCTAGTATGTAATAATAAACTAAAGACACGTCTAAGAATTGAATGCAAGAGTAACTAGAAATAAAGTGGTTTGGAGTTTTTTGTTTTTTGAGACAGGGTCTCACCCTGTCACCCAGGCTGGAGTGCAAATGTGTGATCACGGCTCACTGCAACCTCAACCTCCCAGGCTCAAGCCTCCCACCTCAGCCTCCTGAGTAATTGGGACCATGAGCATGCCACCATGCCTGGCTAACTTTTTAATTTTTTTGTAGAATGGGGTCCCACTATTTTGCCCAGGCTGTTCTCAAATTCCTGGGTTCAAGTGATCCTCTACCTCAGCTGGGATTACAGACATGAGCCACGGCACCTGGCCACAGAAATAAAATGTCTTTAAGATTTCAGAGCAAATTGTAGACTAAGCGAGGCAGAGAGAAGTCACAGGATTCAAGCATAAAGATAACAATGCCTCAAAATATAAAAACCATGACTGGCCTGGGGGGAAAAAAAAAAAAAAAATCAACCTGATCAATAGGTGGGAGTTTTAGACACATATTAAATCTGAGGTAATGACAGACCTTCCAAATTGAAGGATCAGCCAGCAGATGGAAGTAACAATTTCAAAAAGTCACTGGTCAAGAAAGTTAAATTAAGGAAAGTATTACATGACCCCTAAGCAAGCAGACCCAAGCCATATTCTTCAATAGCCTCTTTAGCAGTAATAAAGATATTTCAATCTTTTTAAAAATAAGAAAAAAAATTCACTGGTCTAGTCCTAACTAGGATCATGAAAATGGAAAATATATACAAGAGACAGACTGTAAAAACTGAGCCTTCTGACAGAAGATGAGTGAAACGGTAGGAAGTAACAACAGACAAAATCACTCAGGCCAAAACCTTAGAAGTCATTCTTCACTATCACCTCTCCCCACCACACTAACACCAAGCCCTATCTAACTCACTCTTTGTATACTCAAACTCATTCTCTCATTGTCAACATCTAATTTCAGGCCCTTGTTCTTTGACTTGAATTCTAGCAAAGTCTTCCAACCATCCTTTGCTCCACTCTCCCCACTGCTACCAAGGTAAAAATTTAAAATAGCAGTGTAATTCCAGCGACTGCTGTGTTGCTTAAACTCCTTCTCTGGCTCCCCAGTCTTCAGGTATACAAGGCCCTTTTAAGATGGGGCCTCTATCTACTTCTCAATATCCCTTCTTCATTCCAGCTCTGATTCCCAAATACCACAACTCTTACTGTATTTCTCACAGAGCAGTTACTCCAGACAATCTGTACTGGTAGCACCTGGATTGCACTAATTAAAAAGCTCAATCCTGGGTCCCAGAATATACCCACTGAACTATCATCTCCAGAGATGGACTAAGAAATCACACCAAGTAACTCTTATCCTCAGTGCCCATTTCTTTACTCTCTTACTTGATAATGCCTAATTGTTTTAAAAGATTGAACACAGTCTTATCACTTCTAAAAAGTCTTCCCTATCAAATCCTTCTCTTCCCTACCTCCCATCACCATTGCTCTAAAGTAGCCAATACTTCTCTTTATCATCATATTGATCTGCATCCAGCCTCCCTACCTCATCCCCACCTAGAAAAGTTGTTTTACTTAGGACAGAGAGTGAATTTCACTAGCCACTGTATGTTGATAGCCCAGCAAAGGGCCTTGCACATACTAGTCACTTAAAAGTTTGCTAATTAAATGAATGCAAACATTTCATCTTGTTTTCAAAGAATGAAAATATACCTTCATCTGCATCTGTTGAGTCTCTTGATAACTGACATGTATTTTGTTTTGAAATACATTATGTTCCTTTTCTAATGTTCCAATCCGATCTTTCATCCTTGCTATAACCACATTGCTTCTTTCTTTCTCTGACATCATTTCCTAAAAGAATATCCCAGAAATTTAAAAACTTGTTATTTAATAAGTATCATAAGCCTGCAACAATGATAAACAATGATGTTATGTAACATCAGTAAAATAATCACAAATGATAAAACATTAAGTACTTGCTTAAAAAAAGCTAGGTCAAAAGATTTCAAAAACAGTCTTCTGCATCTCATCTGCTCTTCACACCAATTCCCTTCATAATCACTTTGCCACTGTTTTACTACTAATTCAAATGCATTTTCTAGTTTATTATAAGTTAAAGACTATGAACCTAAAATAAATCCTACATTCTAACTTGATTACACGAAAGAACATTTTAAAGCACAATAGTTCCTTCTCTATCATTCCCAGGTACATTCTCTTTCAGGGAAAAAAGGCCTAGAAGGAAATAAAAGTCTCTTTCCTAAGGGAAGAAATAGGGATAAGATGTCTACAGTAGAGTCAAAGTTTCAAACAAGGGAAAGTAAAAATCAGAAAGCAGTTTTATCATCTTCCTAAGTCAAATCTTTTTTTTTTTTTTTTTTTTTTTTTCCTGAGACGGAGTCCCGCTCCATCGCCCAGGCTGGAGTGCAGTGGCGCAATCTCAGCTCACTACAAGCTCCCGCTCCCAGGTTCACGCCATTCTCCTGCCTCAGCCTCCCAAGTAGCTGAGACTACAGGCGCCCGCCGCCATGCCCGGCTAATTTTTTTTGTATTTTTAGTAGAGACGGGGTTTCACCGTGTTAGCCAGGATGGTCTTGATCTCCTGACCTCGTGATCTGCCCGCCTCAGCCTCCTAAAGTGTTGGGATTACAGGCGTGAGCCACCGCAACTGGCCCCTAAATCAAATCTTAAATGAGGGATTTCATTTTGTTTTGCTGGTACTATGAACTCCTAGAACAAATACTAATTATCGAAGTACATGAAAGCCAAGCAATTTTAAAATCAGCTGCAGGTATGATTAGGACTAATCATGTCCCTGCTCTAAAGCAACTTTTCGACAAAATTTGAGATATTACATAATTTATGTTTGCCTGAGTTTGTTCATTCATCTTTACAAATTGTTATACTCCTGTATGACATACTTAGAAGTATATACATCATAAGTACACAGCTCAATGAATTATCAAATTAGTTATCCTAATTTTTTTAAATACAGTCATATAGTCACATAAAACTGTAAGTTTCTAATTTTATTAACAACTTTAATCTCGCCAACTTTTTCCATTGACTTTTTTTATTTACTTCAAATTCACATAAAGGATTTATATTCAAACAAGGTCATTCATTCTTACAATGTCATCAAGTGGCTAGGTGAACGACTAGTAAATAAACATCATGTACTCTACTGCATTTAATCCCTAGAAAGAGAAACAAGCACTTCAGGAATAATGAAACCATATTTTCTATAGTTTCAATTCTGTTCTCTCTGTTTCATGATGTTTTAAAGATTGGCTTTTCCAGTATTTTTTACTATTAACCTCTGAGAGTAATATTTCTGAGATTTGAAGAACTAGACAAAAAATTATACTTATCACAGGAAGCTCCATAAATAAATTACTTATGTTAAGAGTTTCACATTTATTCCATTAATCAGACTTAAACAAGATCACACCAAATTTTGTCTTTCTATAAAGAACAGATCTAGGTCAGATCCAATTAAAACAAATTCCCATGCTTCTGTACAGAATGCTTTTGTTATTCTGAAGTTAGGATATCTGTAAGTACTCTTATTTTAAATAATTCAACTATAGGTTATAATATCACGAAAGAGAGAGACGGCTCTATCTACTCTCCCAAAACTCTAAAAGAAAGTTACTTTAGTTGGATATAAATTATAAATAATTAAACTACTGACAATAGATAATTTCTAAAATCTTTCGTTGCTTCTGATTTGCGAAGTATATCCCTCGTACATAAGAATGTCTTCACCTGGGTTAACTGCTTACACCGATCCTTTGTAGCAGCAGCATCTTCCTTCACAGCAGCAAGTAACTTGTCCTTTTCTTGAAGCTGATGTACGAGCGTAGTCAATTCTCCCTTACTTGACTGCAATTGAGAAAGCAACGCAGAATTAGTAATAGTTACCAAGGGCTAATAAAAAGTATGAAAATGGGGCTGGGCGCCGTGGCTCACGCCTATAATCCCAGCACCTTGGGAGGCCGAGGCGTGTGGATCACAAGGTCAGGAGATCGAGACCATCCTGGCTAACACAGTGAAACCCCATCTCTACTAAAAATACAAAAAATTAGCTGGGCGTGGTGGCGGGCGCCTATAGTCCCAGCTACTCAGGAAGCTGAGGCAGGAGAATGGCGTGAACCCGGGAGGTGGAGCTTGCAGTGAGCCGAGATCGTGCCACTGCACTCCAGCCTGGTGACAGAGTGAGACTCTGTCTCAAAAAAAAAGTATGAAAATGAAATGTGGCACCTATACACCATGGAATACTATGCAGCCAGATAAAAGGGTAAGTTCATGTCCTTTGCAGGGACATGGATGAAGCTCGAAACCATCATTCTCAGCAAAGGAACACCAGAACAGAAAACCAAACACTGCATGTTCTCACTCATAAGTGGGAGTTGAACAATGGGAACACATGGACACAGAAAGGGGAACATGGACACAGGAAGGGGAACATGCCTGTCGGCGGGTGGGAGGATAGGGGAGGGATAGCATTAGGAGAAACACCTAATGTAGATGACGGGCTGAGGGGTGCAGCAAACCACCATGGCATGTGTATACCTATGTAACAAACCTGCACGTTCTGCGCATGTATCCCAGAACTTAAAGTATAAGAAAAATAAAATAAAAAATAAAAGGTGCTAAGATTTAAAAAATTATGAAAATAAAGTATCTAACATTAAGTGTTCCTGGGTCAATGCAGAGTTCTGTATTACATAAAAAGTAAAATAACTGCCAAATACTGATCAGTGAAATATTCAGAAAAATCTCTTTAAAGTTGTATATTCTGAAATTTCCAACTAGATACATATCAATCAAAAAACAGATTTTTACAAAGAATTATGGGAATTCTAGTTTTAAACTCAGAGTCAAGACAGTAATTTCCTCCTTCTCCTACCAGATCGAAAGAGACAATGTGAAACCAAAATGTAAGCTGCTATGAATGAAACAGTAACCTATAATCTCAAAGCATCTGAGGAAAGATCACCAAATACAGTAAAAATCAAAATCAGATGCTCCACGACCCCATCAGAATACACCCATGGCTATAGAGGTGCCATAAATGTGTAGTTCTCTGAAATTAACAGGCACATCCTGAAAGGTAAAACCAGCAATCCCCAATTTGACATGGGAAACAACAAACAAGTGCAAAGATTGAAACTTTCTCAGAAGGTCTCAAGAAGGAAAAAAAAAGTCACAGATAAAATCACACATCTCAAGCAGGAAAAAAATCACTCAAAGGGAGCAACTAGCCGGTGAGGCAGTCAAAAGATTCTCTATAGGGAGGCCCTAAGTCTCTTATCTGAAAAGCAGCGAAGGCTAAAAAAACCCATTTTACATACACAGTCCCCAAGGAGAACACCAGTCAGCCTTGACCCTTTAGTAATACCAAGCCTTAGCACAAAGATGATCCAAGAAAAACACCCCTCATTGAAAGAACAGTAGTAAATAAAATAAAATAGAATAAAATAAAACAGGATCTATACTAGATATCAAAAAAATGAAAATAAGAAAAACACAAATAACAAGTGAAGAAAAATCACCAGAAAAAGGTTATCAAACAGCAGATAAAAATTGTGATTAAAAATCTAATATAGGAATCATCTCTGGAAAATAAAAGAGCTCAGAGAAAAGATAACACAAAATGAGATGAAATGTGAGCTGGCAAAACTAAAGTGGAAGCAAAAGCAACACCATCCCAGAAATATACTATAGTTAGAAACAGCAAACAGAAAAGCACATGCCGCTGTAAACACAGTAAGGGCCATAGAGTACATGGTAGAGAGAAGTAAATAAAAAGGAGAAATAAAGTTTTCTTTGGTAATGTGTTAGGTTTTTTTTGTTGTTAAAGATATGAAAGATAATGAAGGTAGCCAGAGGAGAGCCCACATGTATTTAACTGATCTCCATTATTTTATTTATTTCAAGAACATTATATATAACTTCCCAGTAATAAAAGCTGACTTGAATCTAATGATTAAAAAGACATACTGTAACCAAGGTAAGTTTAACAGAGCAGTCAACATCAAGCCATATTATAGTACAATTACTGAATGCCAAAGAAACTGAATCCCTTGATGTGTGTAGAGTAGGTCAGACACTGAAAAAAATCCAGTAAATAATAAAAATGTGATTGATTATTCAAAGAATGTTTTATTGTGAGAGTGCAGTTTAACAAAAATATATGAAAAGGGTGCAAAATGCAGGCTGGCTTCAGACCTCCACCCAGCAATATGAATAAAGAGAACAGTGAAACAACAAATGCATAAAATGTTTCAAGGAAAGAAAATGAAACTCTGGAATGTTATACCCTACCAAACTATTATTTAAGTATAAATACAACAAAAGCATGTTAACTTGCCAAAATTTGGAAAATTTCTTGAAGAAATCCCAAGAAAAGCAACTTCAGCTAACCAAGAGATGAATAAAGAAGCTATGACAAAAATACTAATATTGAGATCTGGACCTACCATTAAACTATAAAATTAAAACTAAAACATGAAAATTATAATCACAGAAGAGATGTTAAATATTACAAGTATCTGACAAACAGAAAAACTATTATTAACAAAAGTTGAGAGGGGTGGAAGAAAGCAGCTAGGGGAAAAAAATTTAAGTGGTATAACAGTAGTTCCTCCTGCTACGCAGCATGAGGCCCAAATTGTTAATAATTTAAAGTTTAAAATATAACTGAAGCAAGTATATTTAAACGTCAATAATAAAAAATTAATAATTAAACATTTTACTAATAATTATATTAATAGTTTATATTTTTCAGCATTTATTATATGCTAGGGACTCTAAGCACCTAACATGCACTATCATTTAATTCTCAAAACTTGATCACTCCCATTTTAGGCACAGGAAAACTGAGGCATTAAAACTAAGAAACTTACCTAAGGCCACAAAGCTGCAATTGGCAGAGTCCAGATTTGAATTCAGGAAGTCTGACTCCAGAGCTCAGGATCTTAAGTACACTCTCAAGTGCCTCATAACTCGAATACAAGGGCACGTGTGCACTCACACAACATAACATCTCTGCTCCAACCCTTCTAGCTTCTGCTCTGTTTTCCCCTTCCCACCTAAGCTTATTCATAGCGGACACTCGCTGTCACTTTTCCCATTCATTTGGTACTTATTTATAATCTTGTATTGCAATGAAACTGCTTTTACTAAGGATATCAAACTCATCTCTAAAGCATGTTACTGTTGATCATTCAAACTCAAAGTTTCTGTGATTCCACTATCTCCTGGTGTTCCTCCCACTTCACGCCTCTTCAGTATCTTTTGTGGTGATTTTCCTTGCCCTTTACTTGTTGGTGTTTCCTGGGGTTCATTCTTGAGCCTTCTATCACCTCTCACATCCTCCCTGATCTAATATACATCTACCATATGTACTGATGATAGTGGATTATCTTCCTCTATCACTCCCATTGTAGCCTTTCTTCTACTCCAGAGAAATATGTTTTTAATTGTAAAATGACTATATCCACTTAAATGGCACAAGGGACACCTAAAACAGCTTTCTGAAATTTCTCAATCCTCTACTCTCTACAAAGTGTTCACAAAAACCACACTCACCACAATCTATCCAGTTACTCAAGAGAGAAAACAAGCAGTCACCATGGACTCTTCTTTAGCCACTACATACAACTGCTCAGCAAATCCCTTAACTCTTCTATCCTATGCCAGTGCCCTGTATTTATCTTTCCCTTGCTCTAAAGTGGTCTTTATTCGGCACAAGGATTCAATTACCTCTGAGACTTTGAACAATCTGTGAAAAGGTCTGACCAACTCAGTTCTAAGGCAGGAAAAGGGAGAAATTAAACTCACCTAGTCTTACTCAGATACAGGAGACCTACAAAGGCAGAGTTCCTTCAGTAGAGAACAGAACCGCCCCATGAGAAACCAAAAACAAAAAGATTTTAATTTAAAACCAAATGGCTCCAAGGAAAAGGGGAAAAACATCAACAGTTTCAAAACACTTGCTCCATGCTATCTTTAACAGTTTCCAACTTCTTCCAAGGCCTGCCTAAAATAGACAAAGGGTAGTCTGATTTACCACCCAGACTCTAGAGTCCAAAGCTGTCTCAGACAATAAAATGATTACTCTTGCCCCCATAAGCTACCAGGAACATCTTTAATTAGAAGAGAGACACTTAAAGCAATTACTTTTAATCTTAAAAAGCATTAACTCTAAACAGCAATATAGTAACACAGTAACTTCAGCAAGGTTCCTCCCTGCTAGGAGCTGTTCTCAATCCCCACATATAACTAACAACTTTTTAAAGAAAAAATTAAACCATTGAAGGTTTGAAAGTAGTTGAAAGGTTATGGGAAAAGTAGTCACCCAATTACAATAAAATAAACCAAAGGACAAATTCTTTAATCAATATCAAGGCTAAGCACCATGGCTCACACCTGTAATCCTAGCACTTTGGGAGGCCAACGCAGGAGGACTGATTGAGCTCAGGAGCTTGAAACCAGCATGGGCAACACGGTGAAACTCCATCTCTACAAAAAATACAAAAACTAGCCAGGCATTGCTTGTGGTCCCAGCTACTCAGGAGAGTGAGACGGGAGGATCGCTTGAGCCCAAGAGGTGAAGGTTGCGGTGAGCAGAGATCGCACCACTGCACTCCAGCCTGGGTGACAGGGCCAGACCTCATCTCAAAAAAATAAAAATAAAAATAATCAAGAAAGTTCCTTGCAACAAAACATCTGTCTTCGTATTTAAAGTCACATTTATCGTATTTACTGATTACCTTTTTACTCTGGGCCATTGCTGGCATCACATGGAGACTATCTAATAAGCATGCTACATCGTAAAATTGCCACAGATTTGTAAAATGCACTGTCAATAGAAGTATGACAGACTTATAATGCTACAATAAATGCTATGGCAAAAACATCCAGACGGTTGTAAGAAAGAATAGAAGGACAAACAATTTAGACTGTGAATTCAGGTTAGCCTTATATGAGAAAATGACATTTAAGTGGAGACTTGAAGGAGGAATTGGGCATAGAAAGAAATTGGAGGGGAGGGTTTGGGAGGAAAGGGGAGACAGGACAGACAGAAGAAAAAAATCTGATATGAGAGAAGAATCAGAGAAGACTCCGTATGGGTGAAATTTAGTGAAGAAATAAGAAAAAATGTCATTAGATGAGGCTGCAGAGACAGGCAGGACATAGACCTGTTAAGGAATCTGGATTTATGTTTTAACTGCAAAACAGAAAAACACCAAAGGGTTTTTAAAGCAGTAATATAACCTAATTTATCTCTTACAGGTCACTTTACAGTTACGTGGGGGAAAAAAACAAAATCAGAGGACTAAGAAGAAAAGCAGAAACATCAATTTGGAGACTACTGCAGGTAATCAGGTGAGAGGTAATGGTCTAGACTAGTCTAAGAAAAAATCAAACCATTGAAGGTTTGAAAGTAGTTGAAAGGTTATGGGAAAAGAGGTGTGCATGTGTGTGTTTTTAGAATAAAGACAGTTAAATGCACCATAGCATTTAAATGACAGTTAAATGCTAATATTGAATAGCAGACACCATATCACTTTATTTTACATAGGTAACCCTTGAAAACTTCACCTTTCCCAGTACGACATAGTATATATGATATTATAGTGAATATGACCCATAATATAGATGTTAACTGCATGGGGTTTTTATTTTACAGACATAGTACATATGATATTATAGTGAATATGATCCATAATATAGATGTTAACTGCATGGGGTTTTTATTTTACAATTTTTTTTAAAATCAGCCATAGCAGTGACTATGCCTTTCAAATTATTTCTTTCAGAAAAGTAAACACAACATACACACACCCCCACAACAACAGCCCTGAAGTTCTTTGAACGGTGTGATCTTCAGTCACAACAGTTCATATATGCTATCCAGAAATCACCTGACTTTGACTTTAGCACTTCTGGTCAGAGCAAAGCACAGTCCAGTTTAGCCAAGGGCCAAATGACTTTAAAAGTAATATAAATCTGGCTGGGCGCGGAGGCTCACGCTTGTAATCCCAGCACTTTGGGAGGCCGAGGCGGGTGGATCACGAGGTCAGGAGATCACGACCATCCTGGCTAACACGGTGAAACCCCATCTCTACTAAAAATACAAAAATTAGCCAGGCATGGTGGTGCATGCCTGTAATGCCAGCTACTCTGGAGGCTGAGGCATGAGAATTGCTTGAACCCAGGAGGCGGAGGCTGCAGTGAGCCAAGATCACACCACTGCACTCCAGCCTGAGGACAAGAGATCTTGTCTCAAAAAAAAAAGTAATATAAATCATCTTATTTTAAGCAATTGGCTCTGTCAAAGGATCAGATGACATCAGATGACATTTTAAATAAGTGAACTGATTAGTGTGAATATATGATATGGTTTGGCTGTGTACCCACCCAAATCTCATCTTGAATTGTAGCTCCCATAATTCCCACATGTTATGGGAGAGACTTGGTGGGAGATAATTGAATCATGAGGGCAGTTTCCCCCATACTGTTCTCCTGGTAGTGAATAAGTCTTACAAGATCTGAGGGTTTTAAAAGGGGAAATCCCTTTCATTTGGTTCTCATTCCCTCTTCCCTGCTGCCATGTAAGACATGCCTTTCACCTTCTGCCATGATTGTGAGGCCAGCCACATGAAACTGTGAGTCCATTAAACCTCTTTTTCTTTATAAATTACCAGTCTCAGGTATGTCTTTATCAGCAACGTGAAAATAGACTAATACAGTAAATTGGTACCAGGAGTGAGGAACTGCTGTAAAGATACCCAAAAACGTGGACGTGACTTTGGAACTGGGTAACAGGCAGAAGTTAGAACAGTTTGGAGGGCTCAGAAGAAGACAGGAAGATGTGGGAGTTTTGAACTTCCTAGAGACTTGCTGAATAGCTTTGCTGATAATGACACAGGCAATGAAATCCAGGATGAGGTCATTTCAGATGGAGATGAGGAACACGTTGGGAACTGGAGTAAACGTGACTCTTGATATGTTTTAGCAAAAAGACTGGTGGCATTATGCACCTGTCCTAGAGATCTGAGGGAGACCTGAGGGAGATGATTTCGGGTCTCTGGCGGAAGAAGTTTCTAAGAAGCAAAGCATTCAAGAGGTGACTTGGGTGCTATTAACAGCATTCAGTTTTAAGAGGGAAAAAGAGAATAAAAGTTTGGAAAATTTGCAGCCTGATGATGCAATAGAAAAGAAAAACCCACTTTCTGAGGAGAAATTCAAGCCAGCACAGAAATTTGTGCCAGCGGCAGAAGTAATGAGGAACCAAATGTAAATCATCAAAACAATGGAGAAAATGTCTCCAGGGCATGTCAAAGACCTTTGCAGCAGGGCCCTCCTATCATGGGCTGGAGACCTAGGAATTAAAAATGGTTTCCTGGGCAGGGCCCAGGGCCCCCCTGCTGTATGTAGCCTAGGGACTTAGTGTCCTGCATCCCAGCCACTCTAGGCACGGATAAAAGAGACCAAAGTACAGCATGGGCCATGGCTTCAGAGGGTGCAAGCCCCAAGCCTTAGCAGCTTCCACATAGTGTTGAGCCTGAGGGTGCACAGAAGTCAAGATTTGAGTTTTGGGAAATCTCTGCCTAGACTTCAGAGGATGTATGGAAACACCTGGATGTCCAGGCAGAAGTTTGCTGCAGGGGCGGGACCCTCAAGGAGAACCTCTGCTAGGGTAGTGAGGAAGGGAAATGTGAGGTTGAAACCTCCACACGAAGTCCCCACTGAAGCACTGCCTAGTGGAGATGTGAGAAGACGGCCACCATCCTCCAGATCCCAGAATGGTAGATCCACTGACAGCTTGTACCGTGAGCCCAGAAAAGCCACAGACTCTCATGCCAGCCCATGAAAGTAACCTGAAGGGAGGCTGTACCCTGCAAAGCAACAGGGGCGGAGTTGCCCAAGACTATGGGAACCCACCTTTTGAATCAGTGTGACCTGGATGTGAGACATGGAGTCAAAGGAGATCATTTTCGAGCTTCAAGATTTGACTACCCCACTGGGTTTCAGATTCGCATTGGGCCTGTCGCCCTTTTATTTTGGCCAATTTCTCCCATTTGGAGTGACTGTATTTTCCCAATGCCTGTACCCCATTGTATCTAGGAGGTAACTAAGTTGCTTCTGATATTACAGGCTCATAGGCGGAAGGGACTTGCCTTGTCTCGGATAAGACTTTGGACTGTGGACTTCTGAATTAATGCTGAAATTAATTAACACTTTGGGGGACCAGTAGGAGAGCATGATTGGTTTTGAAATGTGACATGAGATTTGGGAGAGTCCAGAGAGGAATGTTATGGTTTGGCTGTGACCCCACCCAAATCTCATCCTGAATGGTAGCTCCCATAATTCCCATGTGTTGTGGGAGGGACCTGGTGGGAGATAACTGAATCATGGGGGCGATTTCCCCCATATTGTTCTCATGGTAGTAAATAAGCCTTACAAGGTCTGACGGTTTTATAAGAGGAAACCCCTTTCGCTTGGTTCTCATTCTCTCTTCCCTGCCACCACGTAAGACGTGCCTTTCACCTTCCACTATGATTGTGAGGCCTCCCCAGCCACGCAGAACTGTGAGTCATTTAAACTTTTTCTTTATAAATTACCCAGTCTCAGGTATCTCTTTATCAGCCGCATGAAAATGGACTAATACAATATATGAAGTAATTTCTGAAGGCATTCCAGACTATATGTTCTGAGATGTTAAGGATGGGAGTAGATATTAATTGCTCTGGCTAAAGTCTTCTTTGGTGAACTTCTTATTAATTGCTCTGGCTAAAGTCTTCTTTGGTGAACTTCAAATATGCCCACAATCAAAAAACATGCTTACCTTCTTTAAAGCATCTTGTATCACACCAGACTTCTCCTTTAGCAGATCTACAACACAAAGAGCCTCATCTTCAGAAAACATCATAGTCTTCAAGGACAGAAGAAAATCTTTAAACTTCACTTCAGCATTTTCTTAATTTGAAAAAAAAAAAAAGAGTTGGCATTAAAAAAACACAAGTAGTAACTTCAGCAAAGGTAAGCATGAAGAATTCATGGCCCAGAAAGTCAATAACCAAAAGAAAACAGATATATACTTCAGGTCAAATAAAACAAATACTCCAGTCAATAGGAAAAAAAAGGGTTTATCATCTATAATACGGAATAATTACATTAGCTAAAAGTTTGCTCAAATTGCAAAATACTAAAATGCCAATATACCCTCACTTTAAAAAAAATCATTTAGGTGTCTAGTATGTGCTAATATCTGCACTATTATATTCACAATAATCTCAATGAACTTTAATAATCCTTGCACACTGACAACCAACTGTGAAAAACAAAATAATCCTGAGAGATATATAAGCCAAATTCCACACATGAGAAAATAAGTTCTAAGATAATTATAAAAAGGAAACCTGATTCTATGAAGATCAAATATATGCAAACCATCCTGACATTTTAAAAATCCATGCATCAAGCACCTCCTGACCCATCCACCCTTATTTTCCCAAGGTTCTCGTATTAGGCATTAACAACCTCTTCTTAAAAAGAACTGCCACCCATCAGACTCAAAGGAGCCTAGGGTTTTTAATACTTCAGCTAAATTGTAAGTTTTAAAAGGTAGTTGTGTACATATGTGGAAACAGGAGATATGTGGGAACTCTGAACTTTGCAATGAATTTTGCTGTTAACCTAAAACTACTCTTAAAAAAAAAAGTCTATTAAAAAAAAAAAAAAACAGCTATGAATTAGCCAAGAAACCTCACAGGAGACAGTAGTAGCTGGAAAATAATCATCAGATAGCAAAATAGCTGTAGGACCTTTAATAAGTCAAATTCAAGTTCCAGATCTAAAAAACTGAGGAGGCTGGACTAAAAGACTACCAATAAATCTTCTATTACGAGGATTTGATTCTTTTGCAATGCATTGTTTCTATGAGAAAATGAAATATATGACTCCATCAGAACTCAGAAATGTGTTTTTATAGTACAACGAAGACTATAAATCCCATACATTATTACCTTTGTCAGTTTCAGTCTTCAGTTTTTTAGTCCCAGATTTCTGAATCCCTTCTACTTGGTCAGGTTTAAGCAAATCAATAACCTCTCTCTTATCCACCACAGGACTTGAGTCAGCATTATCCATCAAAGGAATATATGCAGTTGCATGAATAAGGGGTTCATCTACAAAGACTGCAATTTAAGTTCAACAAAATCGTAATTAGAATATTTACAAAACAGAGTAAATGACATGCAAGCATACTTTAATGATAAATGCAGTTATTTTGAAACCTCTAATAGTAGTTCAAATTGGTTTTAAATTCCCATTTCATCATTTAACAAGTCAAAACACTCATTCTAATGAAGCAGTACCAGCTCAATAGCCTTATTTTATAGTAAATCATTTAAGTTCTCTAAAAATGTATAGCGTATCTCCTCTAATGGTATCTAAAAACTTTTTACGCATCTTTAGGTCTCATTTAATTTTTGTTTTAATATAAGAATTATTTCCACTTAATTAGTGCTCAAGGAAAACTATTAGTTTTTATTTATGTTGGTACTGTACCAACTTATTGTAGTTGATAATTTTTAATCAAGTTCTTTGTACTTGCTAAGTGCAAAAATCACACTGTTCCTAGCAGACAGCTTCTCGTTTCTCAATAGTTATGCCTCTAATTTCTATGGCACATGTACACTTGCTAAAACTTCCAAAATAACATTAAAAGTGAAAGAAGGAAGCCTCTTTATTTTGTTCCTAATTGTAATGGGAAGAATTTAAAGAGTTTGAACATAAAGTCTAACGTCTGCTGGTTAGAGATACAAACTTCCACACCCAGATGAAAATCTCTTTTCTTTTCATTCCTACCTTTTAAAAAGAACTTTTGTACTTATATATGTCTCTTCTTTTATTTAAAATTAAAATTGTTTAACATTTAATTTTAACAAATATATTCAGGTAATATTTCTCTCATACCTAATTGATATGTAATAATTTTAAGTTGTTTAGTCTTCACAAATTTCACAGCGAAGCTTTCCCTGGAAAACTGTGAACAAATAAGATTGCTCCATCTCTTATCATTTGATGGCTGCTATATACACATGCGAGTTCTGTTTAGGAATTAATTAGAAATGTATGCTAATGCTAGATCTAGCTAATGTCCTTAAGCATAATCTTTAAATGATATTAAAAAGTACAAATATTTCAAGAATGTTTTTCTTTTATGGTCTGTATGCTATTTATTTTTTTCAAAACTGAGTTAAGAATATTTATAAATGCTTTGCCCTTTGTAAATGGTATATAAACTTTTTCACCTCAAATGTACACTCTGCCCATCTGTCAAAGCACTACAAAGTCATAAGGCTAAAGATAATTTTAGACCTGCATTAGTATTATAGTTGTCATTAGCACACATTAAACTAGGAGCTAAAGAATGTGTGAGATTTCCAGGGTCCTTGTGCTGGTGTACTTCTTTAGAATTAGCATTATAAAAATACATATCTAAACATCTCACCATTTTCTGTCTTTTGTTTCTTTGATGAAGCTTTCTTCTTCCCTGATCCACTTTCTTGTTTAGTCTCTTGGTGGAGGGGTAATGCTTCTTGCCTTTTTGATGGTACTATGAGAGTTTCCACCTTTTTATCCTGGTCATCTTTATTAAACACAAATGAAAAAAATAATTGCAGCAAACAATGAACATAACAGAAAAGATGCAATCATTGAGTAATTCCCAGAATGCTTTACCACTAAAAATTTAAAGTGTGACATATAACACTCTTATTAATAACTTATTCTAGCTTTCTTACTCCACTATACCAGCTCTTCAATGTACTTACTCCTCCTTTCCCATTCCTCAGCTATTTTCAACCCTACTGAGCCAATAGGTATGATCAAGTCTCTATCATCTAAAAAAAGAAACAGCAAGGTACAGTTGCTCACACCTGTAATCCCAGCACTTTGGGAGGCTGAGGCAGGCAGATCATCTGAACCCAGTAGTTCCAGACGAGCCTGGGCAACGTGGTGAAACCCAATCTCTATAAAACCCCATCTCTACGAAAAAAATAAAAAAATTAGCCAGGTGTGGTGGCACACACCTGTAGTTCTGGCTACTCTGGGGCTGAGGTGGGAGGACAGCTTAAGCCCCGGAGGTTGAAGCTGCAGTAAGCCAAGATCGCACTATTCACTCAAGCCTAAGCAACAGAGCAAGACCCTGTCAAAAGAAAAGAAAGAAAAAGAAAGAAAAGAAAGAAAAGAAAGAAACAAAGAAAGAAAGAAAGAAAGAAAGGAAGGAAGGAAGGAAGGAAGGAAGGAAGGAAGGAAGGAAGGAAGGAAGGACAGACACAGAAAGAGAAAGGAAAGAAAGAGGAAAAAGAAAAAGAAAAGGGAAGGAAAAGAAGGGAAGGAAGGAAGAGAAAATCCTTCCCCATCACCATAATTCCCAGCATCCCACATACGTTTCCTTACATATTGACAAAATACTCTTAGTTCCTTTTCTACCAATCATTCCTCAACTAATTGCAACCTGATTTTTATCTCTTTCATTCCATGAAAGGATTAACTCAGATCCCCCAGTGTCCCAAATGCCATATTCTACAAATACCCATTAATCCTTATTTGACTACTCTGGCATTTTATACTTCTGGTCTCTACCCCTTTCTTAAAATTCTCTCCTCTCTATTTTGTTCAGTAAAATATGGCAGTGACAAAAAGACAAATATTGTATAATTTCACTTATATGACGTTCCCAGAGTAGTCAAATTCATAAAGACAGAAAGCAGAAGGGTAATTGTCGAGATATGCGGGAAGGTGGAGGGACAGGGGAAAACAGGGAGGCAGGTAGAATGGGGAATTAGTGTATAATGCGCACAGAGTTTCATTTAGAGAAGATGAAGAGTTCTGGATTTGGCTAGTGGTGATGATTATATAAGAATGTGAATGTACTTACCACCATACGACTACACACTTAAAAGTTGTTAAAATGGTAAATTTCATGCTATATGTAATTTGCCACAATAAAAATAAAATAAATTATCTCCTATCAGCTCCCATGATAATTCTCTTCTTACACTTGAAATATTCCTTTGCAGTATCCTTTGGGAACTGCTTCTACTGAATGCTGCTAGTTTTCAGGGTTGGGGCTTCAATTGAAATACTTTCCTTGGATAAGCTATCTACCCCCATGCCTTCTACTATCTTCATGCTTAAGGCTTCTGAATCTACTTTTCTACACTTACATACCCTGCTGCATCCTGAGTTGCTCTAGTAGATGGCCCCACAGGTACTGGAAACACAAACTGGGGGTGTTCTCTTCTCCATTCACATCTAGTCTCTCTCCAGTATTACCCATTTTAGTGCTACCAACCATCTGCCAAGCACAAGTTGGCAAACTTTTTCTGCGAAGGGCCAGGTCGTAAAAACTTTAGGCCTTATAGGCCATATGGACTCTGGTACAACTATTCAAGTCTGCTACTGCAGCATGAAAGCAAGTCATAAACATATTATGAATGAGTTAATGAATGTAGCTGCATGTAAAAACACTTTATGAATACTGAGACTTGACTTTTTTTACATTTTTACATTTCTCAAAATATTATTCTATTTCCCAACCATTTAAAATGTAAAAACTATTCTTGGTTCATGGGCATAAGAAAAGGAAGTGAGCTACATGTGGCTCACAGGTTGCAGTCTGCCAACCCCAACCTAACTCAGAACTTGGGAGATCAGCTTTAATCCTGTCTCCTCCTTTATCTGCCACACTTCTATATAGTGAGGTTATTCGTGTCATTCTTACTTTGCATACTTCTCAACTTTGTTTCTTCTGTCACTACCATAGTTCAGGCCTACATCTTCATTTTACAAAACTACAATAACCTCTTAACTAGTCTGCTGGCATCAAATACCGCCCCATGAAATCTGTTCTTGCTAGCTCTGCCAAAAAACCTTTCTAAAACAGAAATATGACCATGTAACTAAACTGCTTGAAAATCTTCAACAATGGCTAACCTAAGAAGTCCTAGCTCCCTGGCACAGTATCCAAAACCCATCATGATCTAGCCACTGCCATCTTTTCAGCTCTGTTCCCTACCACTCTCTACACCTCACATTGTATGGTTCAACAATACACTGTACTCTTGCAGCTCTGTGCCTTTACATGATATCCTGCCAATGAGGAATGAGACTCTACTATCTGCTTGATGAAGCGATTCAATGATCAGGCACTGCCTCCTCTGTAAAGCTTTTCCTCCAGCATAAGCAGTAGTTGCTTTAGCTTCTATATTTCCTCTATACTTTCTCTATCTCCTACATAAATCACTTTTTTTTTTTTTTTTACTGGCTTACATGTCCTTTTTCCCAACTAAAACATGTAGTGTTTACCCTTACTATGTCTTGATCCTAGCTGACATGCAAATATTTAAAATCCAATATAACCAGGCCGAGCACGGTGGCTCACGCCTGTAATTTCAGCACTTTGTGAGGCCAAGGCAGGTGGATCATTTGAGGTCAGGAGTTCGAGACCAGTCTGGCCAATTTTGTGAAACCCCATCTCTACTAAAAATGCAAAAACTAGCTGGGTGTGGTAGCACACGCCTGTAATTCCAGCTACTCGGGAGGCTGAGGCAGGAGAATCACTTGAACTTGGGCAGCAGAAGACACACTGAGCCAAGATCGCACCACTGCACTCCAGCCTGGGCGAGACCGTGAGACTCCGTCTCAAAAAAAAAAAAAAAAAAAAATCCAATATAACCTCCTACAAGTTAAGACACACAAACGACTTAATGGTACATACGAGTCCTTTCAAATAAAACAAACTGTTTACAGTTGCACACATCACCACGCCATTTCTCAAGGCTTTTCCACTGTACCTATCAATTCCCTTTCCCTGGAATCTCCCTCCCCCGCCACCCACCCAAAAAACCTAACTAGTACTTACCCAAACTTTAAAAATTTCTGGCATTACATGCTTTAAGTGGTCTACCTTAGAATTCCTACACTGGTTTAGACATATCTAGACCACTACACTAAATCTTTTATAATGACCTATTTGTGTCTACAGCTAACACACAACTACCTTGAAAATGCACTATTCATCTCCGTAGCCCTACTACCTAGCATAATGCCTAGCATAACAGATATATGATAAATGTTAGCAAAATGAAGCAATCAAGGGTGAGAAATGATATCTGATTTTAGCTTTCCACCTTTAATTCTTACCACATCATTTAGAAAGTGAAGTTCATAACTGCTGATATTTACAGGTCCTAAGTGGTTTTAGTAAAATAGTCAAAGTTGGATATTTATAAGATGTATGGGTTTGTTGGGTTTTTTTCTTTTAATTTCTTGTAGAGATGAGGTCTCTCTTTGTTGACCAGGCTGGTCTAAAACACCTGGCCTCAAGGGGTCCTCCCACTTCAGTCTCCCAATGTGCTAGGATTACAGGCATGAGCCACTGCATCGGGCTCTGAAGTTTAAAGTGCTATTTTATGATCAATACTAACTTCTACTAGCAATTAATGTTAATGAAGCAAACACATAATGAAAAGAATAATCTCGGTTTCAAATTCAGTATTAAACTTCTGTGTATGTACCTAACAGAATATCTCAATTCCAAGCTCCAAATCATACAATAAAATTAAATAGATTAAATAGATTACAATACCGCTTCCATTTTTAGACTTCTTCTGCCCTGGTTTCTTCTTTGAGGCAGCTGCTTCAGAGGGAGGGGTGGGCTGTTTAGTAACTGGGACAGGTTCTACTTTTTTGCCAGGAATCTTTGATGCATCACTTTCTTTGATGACCTGCTCTTCAAGTACAGGCTTTTGTTTCTTTTCCTTCTTTTTTCTTTCCCTAACACTACTTGAAGTTTCAACCACATTCAATGGAACAGGTACAACTTGATCATCTTCTACTGCCAAAGCATCTGATAATTTAAAGTCTCGAGGTACACTCTCAGAATCAGATTCATGGAGGTTTCCATTCTGGATTTCTTTCTTTTTATTCTTTTTCTTTTCTGCTTTCTTTTTATCTGTTTTGGTAGGAATAAGCTTTTGTTCTCTTTTCTGTTTTGCAAGAACTTCATCATATAATGTTTCTTTCATGAAAAGCCAGAAGAAGAGGAAAATTACTGTAATAACTATTGAAGGAATAAGAACAATAAAATATGCTGACTCATAAAACTCCATGGTACTTTTGTCAATGTGATCCTATAAAACCTAAATAGGGAAGAAGGTAGGGACAAAAAAAAGAACCTGTCAGTCTCATAAAAATTAAAGTCAAAACTGCTGCTCTTTCAAGTGGTATTTCAAATCTAACCTGACCTACAAATCTAAACAGGTTAGTTCTTTAAATCACATTCTTGATTTATTTGCCAACAATTCATACATACTATGAAAAATAAGACTAGTGGTAACTAGAAAGAGTAGAACACATCCTTCCATTTCTAAATCATGTGAAAATATCCTAATTGAAGAGAAAAATTTTAAATATTCATTACTTTCTTTTCCCCAAATATCCACTTTTGGTATTTTATTAGTAGTTAATTTTTTTTGTTTATTGTACAGTGTTGATAACTACATGTGAAAATAAAGAGGCACTATTACCAACTCAATGGACATTCATTAAAAGTGTCATATTCTGAAATGCACACACACACAAAAAGAGGTGGTTTATTTACAGATTAAGACCAGTCACAAACTGCTTGCATCTTTACACCAGTGACTATCAGCCTCATGATGCGGTGGGATCTATCAAGGATATGAAAATATAATATAATCAAAATCCAAATGTTAGGATGTGGCATTTGGCATTAAAATAAATTACAGACCAGGCGCAGTGGCTCACGCCTGAATCCCACCACTTTGGGAGGCTGAGGCGGATGGATCACTTGAGCCTAAGGAGTTCCAGTCCACCCTGGGCAACATGGTGAAACCCTGTCTCTACAAAAAACAAAAACAAAAAAAAAAAACACCAAGAAAATTAGCTGGGCATAGTTAAAACGAGCCTGTAGTCCCAGCTACTTGGAGGCTGAGGTGGGAGGATCACTTGAGCCTTGGAAGTCAAGGCTTCAGTGAGCTGTGACTCTGCCACTGCACTCCCGCCTGGGCAACAGAGCAAGGCCCTGTCCCAAAAAAATAAAGTAGTGAAATAAATTACAAGTTAGGAACTTATCTCAATTTTTTAAAGGCACCCCATACTGCACAAAACAAGTTATACAGCAAAAGCGAGGCTGCCATCAACACCCTACCTAAATTGCTAAATAAAAGGCTTTGCCTCATCAATAGGAGATAGGCCCTACTTTTAGATTGACTCAGTAAGTACGGCGGCAGGGAGGAAAGATGTAACTTGACTACCAACATCTGCCTTGAATACAGATATTATATCACTTACGTGAAGGGTAGTTTCCCCTAAAAGTAAATCTCAAAGTAAAAATGATTCTGATGTTGAGATTCTACATACTGATGCTCCTTATGAACATGCATAAGCCACATAAAAGTGACTTGTATTCTTATGTCATCTCAAGTGTGTTGTAGAAAAAGACAAGGTATATAATACAGATATAATTAAACATCAGGACATGTTTAGGATAAAGCAAATTAAAGTTAATTTCTGCACTTTTAATGTAAAAATAAATCTAAGAATGTTTAAAATTTTCAAATTATTGATTTGGAGAATCTTGATACGTAATGATTAGATAAAGAAATCAATTCTACCTAAACAGGGGACTTACTCTAAGAATTATTTTACACCTAAGAAAACATCTGATTTTAAATTGGACAAATGTGAGTTTATTGAATATAAGACTTTGTCAGAACTATAACAACAGGAGTTTGAACTGCACTGGTCCACTTACACATGGATTTTTTTTTTTAATCAATTGTTACTGAAAATACGGTATTCACTGGACGTGAAATCTAAGTATATGGAGGGCCAACTTTGTATACCTGGGTTCCACAGGGACTATTCCAAGACTTCGAGCATGCTTAGATTTAGATATACGCAGGGGTCCTGAAGCCAATCTCTCGCATATGCCAAGGAATGACTGTCGTTTGTTCCACAGACATGTTATTAATCTATATGACTGAAGTAACATTTCATACTTCCATATCCAATTTTTAAATAGTATTAGTTAAACCCTAGATTTACTAAGACAAGGTTTTAACACATTAAGGGGGAAAAGGAATCATGTGCTACCAAAATACTAAAAGAAACTCCATACAGAATTGTTTCCCTGATAATTCAAATTAACATGAACTGTCCAGGTTTTAAAATTAGACATATTTTATTGTGCCTGCGTTAAGTGTGATTCGTCACCCAGGAATGCTTTTAAAGAGCCCAGAATTTTCTTTTCAAACATAACATCCACAGAATACACAGCCTATTCAACATAAGCTGGGAAGCCAAGGGAGAAAAAGCACAAAACAATGAGTTGGAATGCTTCAAATTTTTGTTTTGGTGAGGAAGAGGCGCTGAGGCACTTAGCAGCAATAACAGAAGCTGAAAAAAGGGGCAAAAGTCAAAAAGGCCTAATGAATAAGCTGCAGCCCTGTACGAACCTAGGTCTTAGGAAAGCAGAAATTATGATCAAGCACAGCAAATTCACCTGTATAGAAAGAAAAAGTAGCAAATGTTCAAGGAGAAGAGAGGCTACGAGACCACAAGAATTCTGAAACACCGATTCTTCAAACGTTTTAATGATTTTCTAGTTTCCTTTTCCAGGTCCCATATATAGGCCTGAAGGAATCAAGCTTTCTGTCTCTGGATTTTCATGGGAGTCCCTCTTCACGCAATTCAATTCACATTCATTTGAGCTCACGTGAGACTCACTATGCATTTAGAGGAACCTACATAAACACAAAGAGATTAAGAATCAAGAAAATGTTTGCTACAGCCATAAAAAGGAATGAGATCATGTCTTTTGCAGGGACATGGAAGAAGCTGGAAGCCATCATCCTCAGCAGACTAACACAGGAACAGAACACCAAACAATGCATGTTCACACTCATAAGTGGGAGTTGAACACTGAGAACATATGGACCCAGAGAGGGGAACAACACACACCAGGGCCTGTTGGGGGGTGGGGGTTGAGGGGAGGGAACTTAGAGGATGGGTCATAGGTGCAGCAAACCACCATGACATACATATACCTACGTAATAAACATGCACGTTCTCCACATATATCCTGCTTTTTTTTTTTTTAGAAGAATAAAAAAGAAGAAAATGTTTGCATTCCTTTAACCCAACAATCCCAATTCTTTATCCTTAGGAATTTATTTGCAAGAAAAAAAACATATAGAAAGATGTTCACAGGCCAGGTGCAGTGGCTCACACCTGTAATCCCAGCACTTTGGGAGGCCAATGCGGGCGGATTACTTGAGGTAAGGAGTTTGAGACTAGCCTGATCAACATGGTGAAACCCCATCTCTACTAAAAGTATAAAAATCAGCCGGGTGTGGTGGTACGCGCCTGTAATCCCAGCTACTCAGGAGGCTGACGCAAAAGAATCACCTGAACCCAGGAGGGAGAGGTTGCAGTGACAGTGAGCCGGGATCGCGCCACTGCACTCCAGCCTGGGCGACAGGGCAAGACTCTGTCTCCAAAAAAATTAAAAAAAGGTTCACGGCAACATTACATAAAAACTGAAAAAAGAAAACGTTCAACATCAGAATGTTTTCAACCAGCAAATATCAACTCAAAGTATAGGTATTAAACCATGAACCTAAAACTTCAATTCAATGCTGCTAAAAAGTCAAAATCATATGTATTTATATGATCGAAACATTTTATATGTGCAAGTTCAGTAACTAAGGAGTTGTGCCAAAATCATGGGTACAGTCTCATTTGCCTTAATACTCTAGTTTTAAACTTTGTTTATGAGAAACTCTTAAAATATTACTTTAAAAAGGCAAAACATGAGTGTCTATTGAATAAATACTACCATACCAATTAATATACCTCAGATTCACATTATACCCACGAGCATCAGAATTACATAAGGAGGAAAAAACAAGAGACAAATAGGAACTGAAAATGAAACAGGAAAATTCAGGGAAGAACAAACACAGAAAGATTTAAAAGCAGGGAGGCAAAATTGAAAAATAAAAGGAAAGAGGCTGAGAAAACGTTAATTTAGCTCTGGGTGATAAGAACCAGGTCATTAAAATTTTTTAAGTCCACAGTATGCAATTCAATACATGTTTGTTGAGTTGAAAAATGGAGACACGTAGACACTTATGCTGTTCTTTCACACATGGAAGAAATCATTAACACTGCTGATTTTTGCTAACTCACAACCTGAGTTACTACAAAAAAATTATAATATTTTTACACATTTTTTTTAAGAAATGGGGTCTCTATATATACACTGCTCAGGCTGGACCACATTGGCTATTCACAATCCCTATGATAGTGCATTGCAGCATCAAACTATAGAGGTCTTCCCACTTCAGCCTCCCAAGTGGCTGCAACTACACTACAGGCATGTACCACCTAGCCTGGCTAACCCTTTGTAGTATTAGTTACATCTTTAACCTCATCACACATAAGTCATAATAGATTCCAATCTGAATGCAATAAACAGCCAGTGGTGGTAAATAGGATTTCTCTGTCAAGAGAACCAGGAGAGAAATATCCATGGAATGATAGGAAAGTAAGTCCAAACTATTTTAAAACCACATTCCACACCATTGTCTTTTATCTTTTACTTGGACATAAATCTTTCAAGAAACTGATAAAGATACTGACCCTCTTTCTCAAAGGAAAAAAGTATCCACACTCACTAAGTTTTACATATAATCGCCAGAAGGTTTCTGGATTCCCTGAAGAATATGCCCGGGCCCCAAGTTTAAAATCCTGCTCTACAATGAGAGTTTTCATTCCTGCCCTATCTTAAAAGAACTACAAAAATAATTGTAAGTTAACATGCATGATATGTAAGTTGTGTTTCATCAGAGTACGTATTACAAATACTAATCAAATAGTTTTAAAATTCTATTTACTCGCCCTCCTATAACTTACATTTGTTCATATAAAAACTGAGACACATCACTGAGTTAAATTCTATAAACTTCTCAGAAGGTACAATGACCCGTTTATATTAATATAACAAAGAGGTGAAACCTAAAATTTTTTTTTTTTTTTTTTGAGACAGACGCTCTGTCGCCTAGGCTGGAGTGCAGTGGCCAGATCTCAGCTCACTGCAAGCTCTGCCTCCCAG